TGGTTGTTAGGGTTTAGGGGTTTGTTTAGGAAGATGAAGGCCAGGTCTGTTTGGGGCAGTAGAAAGAACGGAGCCCAAAGCAAAAGTAGTGAAAGGTGCGGAGGAGGAGGAGCAGAGTAGTAGTAGTAGGAGTAGTAGTAGTAGTAGTAGCAGCAGCAGTAGTCGTAGTCGTAGTCGTAGTCGTAGTCGTAGTCGTAGTGGTAGTGGTAGTGGTAGTCGTAGTGGTAGTGGTAGTGGTAGTGGTAGTGGTGGTGGTGGTGGCAGTACCAGCAGCAGTGGCGGTGCTACGTGTGCTGGTATTACTGCTCGTGTTGGTGGTGGCAACCTGGTAGTCGAAGGAGCATTAACATTCATGATCTTTGCCAGTGCCACTACAGCGCAATGTCATCATCATCACCGTCATCATCATCTTCATCATCACGATCGTCATCATCATCATCACCATCTTCATCATCATCATCTTCTTCTCTCGCGGCGGAAAGGGTTCTCCGTCCAGCGGGCACCTACATCACGCATATCTTGCGATGACGGCCCCTCAAGGGAGCATGGCACGAGTGCCTCTTATGGGCATCGATTGCTAAAAACACCTAGGTGACGTACACAGATGACCATTCAGTCATCCATGGTTTCCCAGTCGATCTGGATCAGAGTGGTGGATGTGTTCAATGTCTGAGTCTGCTCGCTTTGCACTGTGCAGCGAATGTTGCCCACTATGGTCTCCAGTAGGCGAACTCTCTGCTCCATGGTGTTGTAGAGCCGGAGAAGCGTAAGCAGATCCGTCGAGACTTTTCGCATCTCTGATTCCAGAAGGCGCATCTGTCCACTGAGCCACACTATGTCTGTTTGTGAGGCTGACAGCGGATAGGCAGGCTTCATGTCGGTGCTCTGACACACGCGCTGTGTGATTTGAGCTAAAGCTTCGCAAGTTAACAAGCACAGCAATGTAAATGTTCTGATGCGCGGATGCTTGCATGGAAGCTTCGAGCGGATGCGGCTCTTTTTCGTCATCTAAAACCGTCCAGCTATTCTCCCCCGAAGCAAGGATCGTGGTGTAGTGGCCTGAGCTAGGCGTCTGGCCATGATGCTGGATGTAAGCTATTGCACGATAAGGCACCCACTCAACATCATACCCCGTGGAGCTGGCATACACAGGAACCTGCACATGAGGAGTCAAATGATAGGCTTGAGCAGTTTTGACAGCTTGGCCGCTTGTCCATGCGAATCGTGGAATCTGCATGAAGATCCATGGAGCTGCTGATGTGAATGCATACATGGTGTCCTGACTGTGCCAAAAATTTATGAGCAGTTGTATATCAGGATGGTGGGCGGGAGGCTCAACCAGGATGACACAGTGTGTTATGGGGGCATCGACAGTTTTGCCAATGCCTGTATCCGTTGCATAGCGGAGCTCCACAACTCCTTTGACCACAGAGGCGGCCAGTTTCGGATGCAGGTGATTTATCAGCTCAGTGGCATCGTGCTGCTGCTCAGGCCGGCGCCAGCCCAGAAGCTGAAAACCCAGGTGACGGCGAATGTGTATGAAGTCAATCCCGTCAGCATGTCCCCTAAGCACCTGGGGCAAAACGGACATGTTGCCTGTGTGCACTGCCGCCGCCCACAAACTATAGATTACGGCGTTCAAATAGCAAAGGTTATTTGGATTATGCAATCGGAAGGATGGCATGGCAATCTGATGCACACGAATGGTGCTTGGTGTTGCATCCTGAGAGTCCGACGTTTGAGCATTCACCTCCCATGGTGCAGCCGAGCTGGCAGTCGGGATCAGCTGCCAAACATGAGTTGGGCCAGTTGTGTGGCCGCTGGCTTCCGAACCATGCTCTCCTTTTTCAGACTCATTCCGATGAGTCCTGTGAGGGAGCAGTTGATCAGCTTCTCGAAGTGTTCGTAGACCTCCTGAGCCAGAGAGCCCCTCAAGGAGATGTCCAGCAGAAACGTGGCCGAGGTGCGGTTCTGATCCTCCAAGTGTTGGAGCCGTTGAGTGCTTTTGAAGTTCTGAATGATGTCGTACTTCAGATTCTCGTAGAGAAAGCTCAGCACTCTCACTGCCTCGGTATGTTGCAGCGGTGTCCGGTCCTCGTTTGGGATGAGAGTTTTGGTCTTCCTGCACCACTTCATGTAGTGCCAGTCCCCATTCTCTGCCAGCCATTTGGCTTTCCGCAAGGAATCCCTCCCCTCCTGAGTGGCCACGACGTGCTGCAGTCGCTGCTGTAACTCCTTGATGAGGTTCGCCAGGAGCACGGTCCGAAGTGGCGAGACAAGGCGATCGTCGCCCTGATCTTTGCGAGCGTTCCACTCTCGGGCTGCTCGCATCATCGCCGGAAGAACACTGTGGGTGTCCTCCTTCAAAAACATCACCAGGCCGCGGTCCAGGCTGAGGCAGTTGATGCGATCTTCGTGCTGAAGCAGGAGCTTGGTGATGGCCATCATCTTCTGGTCCTGAGGGCTGGGGTACATCGGCTGGTAGGTCGCGAAGTTGTGTCCTCGAGGATGATGCGGGCGCTGATGATGGTCCGGCCTCTGACGCTTGGATCTCGATTGAGCGGGGGTCGGTGCCGGTGTCGATGTGTCCGACACCGTGGTCGTTGTCGGAGTGCTTGAAGGAGGAGCTCCGCTGGGAAAACAGTAGCGGAAGATGTCGGCCTCTGGGTTCTCCCCTGCCATGTTGCCGGAGCCGATCCTGCACAATGAGGGCTGCTGTTGAAACCTGGTAGAGGGCGGTACACTGGGTAGAGTGCCTGCCCGGAGCTCCTACGGTGGATTTACAATACATGCAGGCTCGTCCACGTGTGAGCTGAGACTTGAAGGTTTTGCAGAGCACAAGAGCTCTTGCAGGAACGTCCCCTAGCTCATGTGAGTGCACAGTGTTCATGTGTTGCTTTACGTGCTTTGAGCTGGCAAGCCACATGTAGCACAAAACACAGCGCTCAAGAAGATCCTTGCGGGCACCTGGCTGCAGGGGCCAGGAGGCCCAGCTGTGCACATTCTGAATGAAGGACGGTCGACGCACTAAGGGCAGTTGATCTTCAGGTATGTTTTCCACGTCCAGAGTGTGGCCGTCGGAGGAGGTTGCCGGTGGCATCTCACTCGTGACCTGAAGTGCATCTGCTTCGACGGGTTTGCGAATGAAGCTTTCACCTCCAAGGGCTTCACATGCTCCTGTGTTGATGTGTTTAACCAGCTGCTGATACCTGAAGAAGCGTCTGTGACAGAGACGGCATTCTGGGAGTCCTCCCACTGAGTGGGCCACTGCATCGAAGGTAGTGGGGCACTTTGGGTGTGCCGGTAGCCTGCCGTGCGCAAGCTGACTGTGTATGCGCATGCCATTGAGGCTAGCAAAGCTTTCACCACACTCCGGACAGGCTACGGTCTGCACGGAGGCTTCATCTACGGTTCGCTCCTCCCGCAGAGGAGTGGAAGCAAGGATTTGCAGCTGACGGAGCTGCTCCTCAGCATACTGTAGGACCTGGGGCATGGTGGTGATGTCGGGTGCAGTAGTGGCTCGGGCTTGTTGTTTAAGGACATACTGTTCCAGGCTCTGGGCAAGCTGTTGAGCAGGAAGTGGGTGACCCGCCTGCTGCCAGATCTGTGCTGTTGTGGTATGGCTGATGTGCGCAGGCTGCCTAAGAGCGGCTCGCAGCTGTTTGGTCGAGGCTTTCGTCAGCTTATCAAGACCTTTGCTGGTCAGGCCGACCGCAGTCAATGAGTAGTGTGCACTGGTCTGCACACAGGCTGTCCAAAGGCGAATCCTGTTATGAGCCGTGAGTACATGATGCCCATTGAATTGAGGGTGCGACGAAGTGCTTGATAGCGGCCGTTCCCGGCCTTCACACGATGGTCTGCATTCAAGTTTTTACGACCCTGATAGGAGACAATCGACCCCAAGTATTCATGTTGTGCCTTTATTGGAAGAGTGCAGTCGCGGCCTGACACAGTGAGTCGGAGAAGATGTTGACCGGCCTTGGTGCATCATCATCATCATAATAATCATCATCATCACCATCACCATCTTCATCATCATCTTCGTCATCTTCACCATCACCACCATCATCATCACCACCATCATCATCATCATCATCATCAACATCACCAGCATCATAATCATCATCCCCATCATCAGCATCATCACCAACTGCACGTCGCGCCTTTCCGGACCAGATGCCCCCTGCTTGGACGCTTCGTGCTTTTTCAGCAGGCTTACGCGAGCTTTGAGGTTCGTGATGCTGGTGCTCCAAGTTTGTAAGTTTCAGCAAAGCAAGACCTTAAAATGGTAGTGCCCTTGTTACGAGGACCCCGAACACGACCCTTAGAGCCCCGCTTGCGAGGTCGGCATCCACCGTCTCCAGGTTCGGGGAGAGATTGCTCTCCGATTCGAGCCCCTGCTGGGCCAGACTCCTGTGCTCGGGGCTTAGGATATGGTGGGTGTAGGGTTTAGGGTTTAGACTGTATTCAAAGTGCACCTGTTCATGCCCTAACAGTGTTCGGAGGTTTAGAGGTTTTAGGGCGTAATAGGGTCAGCAAGAGTTCCTTGCTTGCATCAGCAACCAGGCTTCGTTTTTCGAGCTTCCAACAAGCTGTCCTTGATGTTTAGGTCCGGTGTTCACAGTAACGAGAATAGGGACATGGTTTTAGCAATAATAATCGTAAGAATACGAAAATGACGTGATGCGCAAGAGTACGACCAAGACTAAGAGTGTTAGAACAGAAGTAATATATTATGCCCCGAAGATGCAGGGTCAGGATGGGTTTTAGGTCGAATATATCGGCCAAAGAATCTAACTTTAGTATTCGATAGGGCCGTAGAGTTCTTGTATATGTTCCAAGTGTGATGTACCTCAAGGTTCAGGAAGCTTCGTTTTGAAGCTGCGCAGCTCGAGTCTCTAGAATCTAGAAGCTTCAGAGTATCAGTTGATTTCTGATCTAGATGCGGTGTGCCCTTCAAGCGTCTCCCTGAACCCGGCTGCCCTTAGAATCCCTCAGCCATGGGATCCTCCCGAAGCATTCGGCAGCCCGCTTCTTAAACGCCGAGGTTGGGTGGCTTAGTGATCTCCTTCTTGAACCCACCGAAGCTGGCAATGGCCACTCGGCTGAAGGGGGTTTAGGGTTTTGGGTTTAGGGTTTTGGGTTTAGGGTTTAGGCCCCAAAGCTGTCTGAAGAACCCTTCCACGCATCGACCTGCACTGCACTGGAGCCCCAAAATGGGCTCGTCCTACCACCCGGCCAGTACGGAGGCCCCACCCTAAACTCTAATCCGATGAACATGGAAGTCTGCATAACTGGTGAAATTAGTGTTCTGGGTTCCCTACTGCGGCATACCCCCCCAAACTTTTCCGGGCCCTTGATTGCCCTGGACCCGAAGCCCTAGCCCTAAACCCAAAACTCTACCCTAAACCCAAAACCCTAAACCCTAAACCCTAAACCCTAAACCCTAAACCCTAAACCCTAAGCCCTAAGCCCTAAACCCTAAAACCCAAAACCCTAAAACCCTAAGCCCTAAACTCTGAGCCTTACGCCACACCCGTAGACGCCGATTCCTCGGTTTAGGGTTTAGAGTTGAGGGTTTAGGGTTTAGGGTTTAGGGTTTAGGGTTTAGCCCTGGCTTTGGGCCCCATAAGGCCAGGAACTCCTAGATGGGTGGTTGTCAAAACTATGTTCCCTTTTTGGGTACCTGAAATAGTAGGTGCCGTTATATCAGGGATCCACAAAGGGACCATAATTTTGACGACCACTCATATCCCAAATCCCATGTAAACCACCCAACCCTGTTTTGCGGAACTTTACGATGCCCCGTAGCCCTTTACACTACACAATACAACCCTTATGCAACCTAGAAACCACAAGAAAAGTAAACCCCTTAACCCCTTAACCCTAAACCTTAAACTTACTAAACCCTTAACCTTAAACCCTGACCCTAAACCCTAAGCCTTGCAAGCCCTTCGAAAGGAGTACAAGTTCCTGGCTTCCCTGGTGGGCAACTCGACGCTGGAGCCCACGGTGAAGTCGGCCATCGACCGGGCGTTGGCGAAGGTCAGGTTTTAAGGTTTAGGGTTTAGGGTTCAGGGTTTAGGGTTCAGGGTTTAGGGTTTAAGACTTAGGATTGTTTTTATGTTTGGTTTGCATCTTCTGGGGCTTGGGTGCCGGGCTTCTCGGAATGCAGGTGTTTCGTTTTTTTGATCTCCGGATCTTTGGGTACTTCGCGGCGAGAGTCAAGGCGACTCTGTTCCGTCGGCACCAAGCCCTGAACCCTAAGCCCGTCAACAGAACTTCAACATGAGCAAGCTCGAACTCTGCTGGAAAAGGGGCTATTGCACTTTAAAACAAAACCCTTCAACGGCCTCCCCCCTTGGGATTTTCGACGAGGATTCTGCAAGTTGGAAGAGAGGCGCTTACAAAAAAAACACAAACCCTTCGCCCTTTAGACAACCCTATATAGACCGTGAGCCTGAGGTTTGTTGGGGTCTGTAAGGTAAGGGTTTCTTTACGGGCAGCTGTGTGGGTTTTTTGGGCTTTACCTCTTCGACTGTGTCTTATGGCTATTATTACCATTATCACTGCCACTGTTAATTTTTATTGTTATGATGAGGACGGTTGTTTTTGTTCTTATGATTACGATGACTGTTTTGCTGTTATGATTATTGCTACCGATGTTGCTGTTATTCGTGCGAGCCCTCGAGCCCTTGAGGCGTCCTGGAATCCACTAGCTTTCATGGCAGGCGCTGGTGATGCCCAATGTCATCTCGATCCCAATCGGCAGTGAGGAGCCGCCTGGAAAGATCTCAAGCGGAGCACGATTTAGGGCTTAGGGTGTAGGGGTGTAGGGCATTTTTTTGTTTGAGGGTTTAGGGTTTAGGGTTGAGTATACGGTATAGCCCAAAGAGGCAAAACCCTGAACCATGAAGCCTTTGCTTTCTTCACTTCCCTGAAACTCACCCCCAAGCCCTTCAGGCATTTTTTCACGCTCGGAGCCCTTAAACCCTAAACACGAAGCCCTAAATCCTAGACTCTACACCCTGACTCTAAAGCAAGGAGCTCTAGAAAAGCACATCCCTTAACCCTGCACGCTAAAACCTACTTGGAGGTTCATGGGTAGTTATAAGTGGGGTTATGAGTAGGGTAACTGTACTTATAACCCATATTAGGGGACTTATACCCCCACTTAATTATAACTACCCATGAACCTCCAAGTGCACCCTAAACCCTACACCCTTATAGAATCCCTATAGATCCCTTTAAAAGGACTCTTAAAGGAACCCTTGAAGCTAAACCCTGCACCCTAAACCCTAAACCCGAGGGACTTTGGGTCGGATCCAGAGCCGAGCCTAAATTCGTTCAGGGTCTGCCCAGAGACTCCAAAACCCCTTTATTAAGGAATATACCTAGGGTTCCTTTGAGGGATCTATAAGGGATCTATAGGGTTTAGTATCCCTTAATTAAGGAATATACCTTAAATGCTAATAGGAGCCCTAATATGATTTAAGGTATATTCCTTAAGTAAGGGGTTTTGGAGGCTCTGGGTCTGGACCGGTCCTGAAGCTGAAGAAGGACTCAAGAGTATAATACAACCTAGTCCAGTATCAGAGAGTATAGTATACTATAGTATTCTCTAACCAAATAGAGTATAATGTGAAATTAAGGATGAGAAAAGAACATACTGTAATTAGTTCTGCCAAAACCCAAAGCACAAGTCTCATTCTTTATGTGCAACATGCTTGCCATCCTGACAGCTCGCTTGCCAAGGAAGGGTGTAGATCGCGCTCTCTTGCGAAGTCCTCGGCCGACACTTGGGTGGCAACTTAAATCCGTGACCATGTATTTCAGGGTTTGGGCTTTGGGACGATAGAACTGTTTGCTGTTTTGGCCACGGTCCTTGCAACCCTGCTCATAACTAGCGAGTGTTGGCAAATGTGTCATTGTTATCTTCACCCACCGCCACCACCACCATCATCACCATCATCACCATCATCACCACCAACACCATCATCCCCGCCATCGTCATCATCGTCATCATCATCATCATCATCACCATTATCACCTTCTTCATCGTCATCATCATCATCATCATCACGGCACCATCACACCACAACCATTTCCGTCACCGTCAGTATCAGCATCAGCAGGAGCATCATCATCAGCGTCATGGATCCTTATGATAAGGACCCCAGAATAAGGTACCCCTCATGTTCGGAAACTCCCACGTCTGTGCCTCCTATTCTGGGCAGGATCAGCCCTAAAACCCTAAAACCTAAGCCCTGAAACCCTACAGCCCTAAACCCCAAACTTACTAAACCCTCAAAACCCAAAAACTCCGAAAGGCTTGGACTCATTCGCATCCGGGTGAAAGCAGCTCACGGCTTGCCAGGCGGGGCCTGTGTTTGGCATGGGAGTTAGGGGGGTTCCTTTTAGGGGTCCTTACTTGGAGGGTCGGGGGACTTGGTAAGTAGGTAGTAGGTAGACTTATAAGTATCCTACAAGGGACCCTAGTTGGGGTTATGGTACCTATAAGTCCCCAAAATAACAGTTGCTAAGTCCCCCGACCCTCCAAGTAAGGACTCCTTGAATGGGTTCTTTAAAGGATCCCTTTGAGGGACCCGTTTACAGGCTACTATCAGGGTATCTTAAGGGGTTCCTTTAAGGGAGCCTTTTAAGGTTATCGTACGGGTTACCTTGGAAGTTCACAGGGCTTGGTAAGCAAGGTTTAGGTACCTAATTGGTGTCTTCAGCATCTATAACTATGGTTACCTTATTTGTACTTTAGCAGGGTTCCTTTAAGGAATCCTTCTAGGTTACTATAACGGCAGGAAGTTTTTTGGGCTCTGGATTGCAGGGTTTAGGTTTTGTTTCCGGACAATGGGACCCCACTCTAGACCCCAAGCAGCGCGATCCTCAGCTTAGGAGCCCCAAATAAGGTATCCGAATTCTTGGAAGAGCCTAAACCTTAAACCCCTAAGGTTGAGGGTTTTGGCTGATTTCAGGAATCGTCGCTCGAATTTTGGGAGTTATTCTCAGGGCTCTGGGATTTTGAGGTGTGGGGTTCAGGATTTAGGATCTACTCAGAGATGTAGGACTTTCGGGCTTTGAGGTTCGGCCTCGGGTTAGGATTCTGGCTCTTTGCGGATCGCTTCGGGCTGCTTTGGGTTGGGCTGTGAGGTGTAGGGCATGGACGCCTCACATCTTCTTGGAGGTTCGGGGCTGAAGGTTCATCGTTTTAGGGGTTCGTGATTTTTGTCTTTTGATGTTCAGAGTTTTTGTATCGATTTATAAAACTCTGATCCCGTACCTGGAGGGAACCTGTCTGCACTTGGCTTTGCCATTGCTGGCCGTCGCGCCCTCGCCCCAAGGCTTCGGGGCTGAGGCAGTCACTGAACCCAAACCCTGCAGTTGTAGGCTTTTCGGGTTGAGGGTGCGTTTTCACGTCCACCCCCTGCGAAGATGGGCACCTTCACTTCCTCAGCAAGCAGCAGAGCAACCCCTACGTGAGAGCTTCTTGTCGGTGTCGCGAGTGCCCTGCGCCCTAAACCCCCTAAATCCTAAACCCTAAACCCTGAATCCAAAATCCTAAGCCCTAAATCCTAAACCTTAAACCCTGAATCCTAAATCCTAAGCCCTGAATCCTAAACCCTCAACCCCAAAACCCTAGACCTTAAACCCCTATCCCTTTCCCCAAATCCCCCAAACCACGAAGCCCAAAACCTCATCTTCAGCCTTTGAGCCCCTAATCTTCCGAGCCCAGAGGTCCTAGAGAGCTCAGTGCCCAAGGAATATATACCTTAATTGGGGTTTAGGGTTTAGGGTTTAGGGTTTAGGGTTTAGGGTTTAGGGATTTTGCCTTTTGGTTCCTTGGTTATAGGGGGTAAGCTTACAGATGGTACGGTTTCTTATTACTCTCTTCACTACGTTCATTGACCATTGACTGCCTTGGTGTAGGAATATATACCTTAGTTGGGGTTTAGGGTTTAGGATTTCGGGTTTAGGGTCTAGGACTAAGGAACATACCTTAATAGTAAGATCCCTAATATGACATAAGGCATATGGTATTTTGGAAAGTCTAGGTACACCTTAAGTTACAGGGGCCTTGATGTTATGATTTCAGGTCTACTGCTCAATTATGAGGTATTGGTGGTGGTTTCAGGTTCGAAACTGTTTGCTGGATCTCGGGGCTTCCCAAAAGGCCAGAAGTGGCGGACGTTTCAGGCTTTAGGGTTTACGATTGAGGTTTAGGGCTTGGGTGTGGGCCCTAAACCTTACTTCCACTTATAGCTAACCTCCAATTTATTCTGCATTTTCTGGCTTCTCGATGCAGCAACCGCCCCATGCCAACACTCAAGCCAAACATTTGCCAAGATCCCGGGCCTCAGCTTAGAAAGTTCAAGGTTTGCACTCAGCAATGCTACCTTCTCATGATGGACCCTTATCCCGTACATCCTACACGAATGAACCTTAAACCCAGTTGCTGATCATTCAGAGCTTTTTGGTGTCCGAAGCTTTGAACGTGAAAGCTCCACCGTCCGCAAGAATGAACGCCCTCAACACCAGAATCCGACAAGCTATGGTTCTTATCCTAAAGCCAAAGAATTGCTGAAAGCACAGCCCTTGAACTCAAACCCTGACCTCTACTCCTTTAAACCGCCAAGCCCCACACCTTGAACCCCTAAAGGCCCTAATATAGAAGCCTGAATAATTACCTATATTGTTCCGAAAACTTCCTTATTTATACCATAAAGGAGCCCAAAGCCCGATTCTAATTATTAAGGCGCCTAGATGAATACCTAAACCGTGCTTTCCGGCAGCTTCCGAAATCAGAAGTTGACCAAATCAGGGTCCTCCTTCTGAAAAGTCCAGTCAGGCTCGCTTTTCGGGGTTGAAGCTTGGGGGTTTAGGGGGGTTGGTACGGTTTAGGGCTTAGGGTTTAGGGCTTAAGGGGTTAGGGTTTTAGGGTTTAGGATTTAGGGCTTAGGGGTTAGGGTTTTAGGGTTTTAGGGTTTAGGGCTTAGGGGTTAGGGTTTTAGGGTTTTAGGGTTTTGGGGCTTAGGGCTTAGGGCTTGGGGTTTGAGGCTTGGGGGTGTAAAGCGGCACAGCTACCGTGAGGCTGCGGTTTACCTAACCCAAACCCCAAACCTTCAAAGGGGTAAGGCACCTGCTCACAATGAACATCTTAAGGCCAAAACCGCGACTCCCCGGATGAAGTAAGCTGGTATGAATCGCATAGATGCGTTAAGGCCGAAGCCTGAGTGCTGAGCTTTCAGAGCAGTCGAGGTTCGGGTTGCAGATGACGAGTGGGAGTCGTCGTGCGCGGTGGGCTGCAATCCGACGTGGCTCGAGTCTGACTCACACTGCTTCTGGTATTACGACTTGAGACAGCTGCTTGTCTTGATTCTGGGCCTCTGCTCCCCATCCCCGTCATTGCTCCAAGTGCCATGGTTTTGCTTCTACGGACAACGCTGATGACGGTGGTGGTAGTGGGTAGTGGTGATGGGGAACGTGACGGTGTTGATGACTTAAAGAAGTTGATATTGAGGTTATGGTAGAGTTGTCCTTGCTGCCACTGTATTGCAGTTGCTATTCCTGGCACGTTTCGATGACCTGCTGTTGCTGCTAGTGCTACCGAACATGACCTTCCTCGTCAGCACAACTGCTACGTCTCTTGCTTCGTATGACCTCCCGAAGCCCTTCGCAAACTAATCCCTTGGCCCAGTCGCGGTTAAGGTGGCTCCTGCTAACGCCTTTTGCCCGACGTCGCTAGAATGCACAAACACTTCACCGAAACCACGAAACCCGAAAAGCCAGGTCCTAAAACCGCAAGGACCTAAATCCTCCCAAACCAAAACCCGTAAGCCCTGAACCCTGCACTCTAAACCCTAAACAACTCCTATGATACCCTTTTCGTAACCCTTAAAAGGATCCCTTAACAGGATCGCACTCTCTCAAGCCCCCAGGACCGTCCACCTGGAAGTCTTGGACCAGGGCCGATTCAACCCGAAGCACTCGCTGGCCATCGCCAAACCGGTTTTGGAGTCTCGGCAGAGCGGTTGTTTCGAGGAGTCCCTGGAATAGACGGATTCCTTGAAGGCTGTTGAGGGTTCCTATAAGGGGGCTACTAGTTACTAGATTGAGGGGTTCGGGGTTCAGGGGTTCAGGGGTCCAGGTGGTCGGTTTTGAGGGTTTAGCGGTTTAGAGTTGCGGGGCTTGGTGTGCGCGAGGGACCAGCAGCAGCAGTCGGACGTGCAGGAAATGCGTTCTCCCTAAGAGAACGGTTCGAAACCGGAGTTCGTAAGTAGCTACTTGGAGGGTCGGGTGACTTAGTAACTGGTTGTTTTAGGGACTTATAAGTACCATAACCCCAATTAGGGTCCCTTTTAGGGTACTTATAAGTCTACTTACTACCTACTTACTAAGTCCCTTAAAGACCCTCCAAGTAGCTCGGAGACCAAAGCTTGAAACCTGGCCGAAACCGTTGTCGAAGCTGTTGCCATGTTCCGAGGTGAACTTAGCAGCGGAGAATTCTGGCAAGCCGGTGGAGCTTTTTGCTCCGATAGCCAGCCGACGCCTCAGGTTTCAGGGCAAGTAACCACAACACCGCACACCCAGCACTTGAAGGAACACTTAGCAGAGCCTTGACGGGAACCCTAAACCCACTAACCCTAAACTCCAAAACCCCGAAACCCCGCCAAGCTCTAAACCCTAGATTCTAAACCCATCACCTCCATAATCCCCGAAAGCCCGAGCCCCAAGCCTCGCGGGGTTCCGAGGCTTAGACGAGGTGAGCGACGAGCCGTGTGGAACTCTCGAGATCGAATGCGAGCTGCTGCTGGGCCTGCAAGACTGCTTGGAGGTTCACGGGACTCAGTAGGTAATGTTTAAGTACCTTAATAAGTACCTTAAGGGGGGTTATAAGTATTTATAGCTATAGTTAACTTATTTATGACCTTAGTTGCCAAGTCCCCTGAACCTCAAGGTACAACGGCTATGATGAGGTATCAGGGCTTCTGTAAGGGTTAGTTGAGGTTCCTATACGACACGGCGACTGTAAGGGGTACTTAGTATTACATAGTATAAGGCTTACCAAAAAGCTTGCTAAATGGGTTCGAGAAGCGGTTCCTACAGGTGTTACTACAATCAAGTGTTGTGTGGGGTACCAAAAGGTTTAGGGGTCGCTATACGGGTCTCTGTAAGGTATAAGAGTCCCTATAAGGGTTACTGTAATGGATCCTATATGGGCACTAAGTGGGATGTTGTGACAGTTACTGTCAGCGTACTACGGTACGGGTAACCATCATGAAATATGGACTAAACATTTCGTCCTAAAAGGGTCTCAAAACTTTTCAAGAAAGGCAGCATGATAAGGCTTGCAAGCGACGGGCTAAGATGCTGCGCAAGAGCCCTTCAAGCTTTCAGCGTTCCTCAGGCTTGTGTTTTTGAAGCAGGCTTTCTAGTCCTGTTGGTTAGGTTCGTTGGATCTTGGGGTTAAGGAGGCGAGTTTTGTTTTTTTGGTGGGTCTTATGGGCCGCTTGCGCTTTGCGTGTGGTTCGGTCGCCTGGGCCTCAGTCGCGAGTTCCCAAGACCCCGTCGGAACCCCAGCGAGGCTCCAGCCGAAAGCCGGGGTGCGCCCTTCCTGTGAGCTCTGCATGCTCCGGATCAAGGCTACAGGGCCGCAGGGCTAGGCGTTCAGGGCTTTAGGGTTTGGGGCTTTAGTAGGGTTCAGGGATACCAAAAAATATGGCCGTGAATGCAGAAGGCTGAGTAGTTGCTACCATTATTCCTGAATCGCTCTCGGATTTGAAGATGTCCGACTCTTCGGGTTATAAGTAGGGTAACTATAGTTTTAAGCCATATCAGGGGGCTTCTAACCCCACTTGTAACTACCCATGAATCTCCAATCAGGGCTTTGGGTTTTGTCTGTCGGGCTAAGGGTTTTAGAGCCAAGTCTCTGGCTCGGGATCATTCTCACCCAGCTACGCAGGGGGCTTGGGGTTTAGGGTTTGGGGTTTAGGTTTTAGGGTTTAGGGTTGGGGTTTTAAGGTTTAGGGTTTGGGTTTAGGGTTTAGGGTTTAGGGGTGTGCGCGAAACTATTCTTACCAACGTCGCTGCGATGGATTTTGTCATTGGGCCATTCTGATGAGTAGCATGATCATCCTACTACTGTCTGGTGCTTAGTAGGGAATTAGTGGATCCCTATGATAGCCCCTTGAGGTCCCCTATAGTAGTCCCAAAAACCCATTCCCCCAATCCCTACGAAGAGCCAGAGAGACTATCGTCGTTTTTGCGTCCAGGGCTATGATCTCAGGATGTATTTCGCAGGTTCCAGGCTACTGTATCCTCGCACAGCCACGGCAGGCAGAGGGCACAGACACAAACCGATAAACCGAAGCGTTGGATCTCTGGTTAGGGGTTTAGGGTTTAGGGGGTTTAGGGTTTAGGGTTTAGGGGTTTAGGGTTTTGGGGTTTAAGGGTTTAGTAGGGTTTAGGTTTAGGGTTTAGGAGTTTAGGAGTTTAGGGTTTAGGGGTTTGGGGTTTAAGGGTTTAGGGTTTAGGTTTAGGGTTTAGGGGTTAGGGGTTTAGGGTTTAGCGAGGTTCTTGTCCCTACCCCTATTTAATTTGAGTTACCATAATAGTAAGGAAATCTTATTATTTACTATAGATCCCTACTATGGTAACTTAACTTAAGTTCCTTAACAAGAACCCGCCAAAGGTGGATGAGATTTACGTGCCGCAGGCCGGCAGCGCATCCCATGCTGCATCTGTGCGGCTTATCCCCTGAAGCCCAAAACCCAAACTTATTCATTCAGGGTTTAGGGTTTAGGATTTAGGGGTTTAGGGGGTTAGGGTAAGGGGTTTAGGGTTTAGGGTTTAGGGTTATTCTAAACCCAGACTCACCCTGAACCCTAAACCCGGACTATACCCAAAGCTCCAGTAATTTCCCCCTTACCACCCTTAGAGGAGCCCTTAAAGGAAGCCTTACGGAGCCACCCTAAATCCTCAGAGGAATCCGCAAAGGAACAGCTGAATTTCATCTCTGCCGGAGGGGGACTCCAATGATGCCTCGATCACCCCCTTGGCTCATAAAGCCCTAAGTCAAGCCCCTAAACCCTAAACCCTAAAAGCCTATTGTCTTACATGGTGAGAAGGGGGAACTTTATAAGCCTTTTGGCCTTTTCTCGTAGCTCTATCTTAGAAAGTTTGAACTTTTTGGGGCCCGGCTGTTGAAGAAGCGAGATGTAGGGCTTTAGGGCTCCGACGGTTATTATGATGGCTGTTGATCTGATTAGTATGACTACCATGGTTGCAATGAGTATCATGGTAAGAGTAGCAGTAGCAACAGTTGTTGTTACTATTACCATCGCTATTGCTATTATGAGCATAACAACCATTTCAACAAGGGTTTCAGGTTTAGGGTGAACTACGTAAACCATATATAAACATATTTTGTCAAGGGCCTTCATGCCCAGATTCCCATTACAATCCGTATTACGGGGAAGCCATGTTCGTTGCTTAAGCGGTTCAATTCTTTGGAATGGTGCAGCTGTCCTGAATCTGCAAGGCATGCCGTCAGGGATCCGGTTTCTTGTAGCCTCTGTTTTCAAGACGGACCAGTGCAAAAATGGATGTTAATGCCACATCCTGTCGGTGGTCAGCGCAAAACATGCTCGGGTTCAGAATAAAGTGCCGTTACACTGAACACGTGTGAGTTCATATGGTCGTCCTTGTGCTGCCGGCCCTCTTTGGGCCGTCCAAGTTGCAGTATCCTCCCGGATAAATTTCATGCAACAGGAAGTCAGCTCAAGGAACCGAGCGGGGGGGGTCTTGGGTTTCGTGTTTAGGCTGTGTTTAGGCTTTGAGATTTGGGGCATGAACTTAATTAAGGAGTATACTTTGCATCATAGAGGCAAAAAGATTTTGCTTTTAAGGTATATTCCTTCATTACAGGGTATTAGGCTCTGTGGGAAGCCGGTCAGCCCCGCGTGGGTTCCCAGAGACTCCAATATCCCTTTATTAAGGAGTATACCCTAAATCATAGAAGAATCCCTTATATGATTTAAGGCATATCCTTTAATCAAGGGATGTTTGAGTCTCTGGGTTCAGGACTTTCCGCAACCTGTCGCCTTCCTCGCGCGCTGCGGCGATTCCGAGAAGACGTCTCCCTTCGTGGTCCCGCCGCTTGTCAGCTGCCAGCGGTTTAGGGTTTAGGGTTTTGGGTTTAGGGTTTAGGGTCTAGGGGTTTCTTCTGGGATTGGGATGATAAAGGGTATTTTGTTGGGGTTTAGGCTGGGGTTTAGGGTTGGGGGTTTTGGGGTTTAGGGTTTACATAGGGTCTATGGGTGTAGGGTGTAAGTCGTTCGGCTCCTGAAATGATGATGAAAGCTGTTTACGGTCTGTACTAGTGACCCTAAGAAGGGGGATCTTGTTAGTCGTTCTGTGTAGGGACCGTGTAAAGGATTCCTCCTGCATGTTTTGGTTGCTGGTGTTGAGTACCCAGAGACCTCAATATTTCTTAATTACGGAGTATACCTTAAATCGTATAAGGGATTCTACTATGATTTGGGGTATATTCCTTAATTAAGCCTTAATTAAGCCTTAATTAAGCCTTAATGAAGCCTTAATTAAGGGATATTTGAGTCTCTGGGTAGGCTTTGCGCACCAAGAGAGTCCCAAACCCCAGACCCTGTTCCCCGTGCCTCTCCGCTGACTTTTCGTACTTCCACTCTCTGCTTATAGCAATACCATACTAAGCGCCGGTATCGACATCACGTCCTAAACTCGTAAGTCTGTCTTAACCCTCAAAAGCCCTCAAAGTCACAAGTCCCAAGGCCCTACACCGACAACCCCCGACCCCAGCCCGTTATGGTACCTCATTTTGGGATCCTTAGAATAGGGATCCTACTATTTAGTGTAATCTAGTAGGGTCCCCTGTTTTCGGAAACTCCCAAAAAAAGCCGCTCTACAGCAAGCATAGAAGTCCTCGGGCACCCTGGAACTGTTGAGGAGCCCTCAAAAGACACCCTTTAATGTAAGTGACCCTTCAAAGAATAATTTATAGAACTCTTTAAAGGGAACCTTTCAGATAAGCCTTTAGGAGGAAGCCTTTAGGGAATCCGCAAGTTAGCCCTGTAAGGAATCGTTTGAGGAACCCTATAAGGCACCCCTATCCAACTACTTGTCAGGAAGGTGCAGCCCGCCGGCCAGGACCTGGTTCTCTGCAGATAGTGGCCGGAAAATGTAGATCAGGGTTCCTTTAATGGTTTCCTTATAAGGGTTGTTATCAGGGATTATGTGAGCCCCGTATGTTATTTATGATTTGCGGGTTCAGGGTGTTTAGTTCATTTTACTTTTCTTGGGAGGGGCGGGGTTATGGCCTGCGGACTGTTTAAGGTCTTGGGGCATTGGCTGCGGGTTTGGAAGCGAAGTGCTAGCTGCTAGTGCCACCATTGTTGCCACTCTTATTATCATTCCTGTTGCTGTGTCCACAACTGTTTTTGTTTTCTGACTGCATGAAAAGGTAGTTCGAAGATGGACATTGCAACGGCGATGATGACGATGGTAGCAGAGAGCATGGTGACTTTGTACAACCGTGTCATGAACAACACGAGCGGCGACAACCCCAGACACGGACACGTCCACAACCACTTCAACGACGACTTCGATCATGACGGTGGCCACGGCTACTACCACGCTTACCACTGGTTCTAATGAATACTGATACTTCTAAAGCTGCTGCTACTGCTGCAACGGCTGCTACTGCTAGTACAACAACGACGGCTGCCACTGTTACTACTTCTTTATGCGTTTCTCCCGCCACCACGACGCCGACGCCTACTACTACGACTACTACGCCCATTCCTACTGCTACTAGGGTTTGATTTCTTTCAGAATTCAAGGCCGCAAGTTAGAGTTGAGGATTCACAGCGCCAAGTCAGGGCTTCAGGCCAATTTGGGGTTTGGGCTTTGAAGTAGGGTTTAGTTTTTGGGCTCTTGGCTTTAAGTGCACTAAAACCTAAAAATCCATAAACCCTGAAACCCCCAAACCCCAGCCCCACAACTACATATCCAAAGCCCTGAAGCCTAAATTGCCAAACTCCAAGCCCGACAGCCTAAGCCCCTAACCTCCTAAACACTCAAACCTCTTGGAGGATCATGGGGCTTAGTAAATAATGTTATGAGTACCTCAATAAGTATAATTAGCTACCTTTCATTAAAACCCGAGTTTCGAAGTCCCACGATCCTTCAGGTAAGCCCAGCAGGATTCCTCCTCTAAGCCCTCTTCTGATTCTTAAGGCCCCTAGAGCAGCCCTTTAAGGATCCCTTTAAAGGGATCCCTTTAAACTGGACCCCTATTAAGGCTACAGTATAGATCCCTTAAAGGATCCCTAGAGATCCCTTAAAGGAGGCCCTTAAAGGATCCCTTCAAAAGGGACCCCTACTTGGAGGGTCGGGGGACTTAGTAAGTAGGTAGTAAGTAGACTTATAAGTACCCCAAAAGGGGACCTAATTGGGGTTATGGCACTTCTAAGTCCCGAAAATAACCAGTGTTACTAAGTCCCCCGACCCTCCAAGTACCTTAAACCCTAAACCCTAGACCCTTTTAGAATCCCTATAGATCCCTTTAAAGGGGCCCTTAAGGAACCCATTCTGTTACCAAGTCCCCCGACCCTCCAAGTAAGAGCCCCTCCAGGATTCATCCAAGCTGCCTCTGGATCGGCAGCCCGTGGCCCTGCCAACGGAGTGCGTGCTCCTTGGCGCCGCAGCTTTTGGGGTTTAGGGGGTATAGGGGTTTAGGGGGTATAGGGGGTTTAGGGGGTTTAGGGTTTAGGGGTTTAGGGGTTTCAGGGCTTAGGGGCTAGGGGGTTTGGGGGGTTAGGGGTCTAGGGTTCGGGTTTAGGGTGTTTCTTTTGGGATCTATAAGGGCTCCCATCAGGAGATCTGTAAGGGATCTACAAGGGTTTAGGGTCCAGGGATTTGGGGTTTTAGGGGTCTTGGGATTTCGGGTTTAGGGGCGGGCCATCATTGATGGTCGATTTAAGACGAACTAGGACAATGCACCATTAACCCCCGGATACCCCCCAACAAAACCCTAAACCCTAAACCCTAAACCCTAAACCCTAAACCCTAAACAGCCTTGATCCCAAACCCTGATCGGTGCAGGGTTTAGGCTTTTGGGGTTTTGGAGTTCAGGCTCCCTCAACCCTAGACTCCCTAAACCCTAAACCCCATAAGCCCAACTTAACAAAGACCCCAAACCCAACTTCAAAACACCCTAAGCCCCCTACATCCCTACAGCCTAAATCCCATAAACCCACTTCAAAAATGACCCTCCCCCCGAAAAAAAGGCTGCACCTCCTCGTCAAGAAGGAAGATCTGAGCACCCATGCGCTGGAGCTGGAAATCATCAACAGGAAGCCCCGTGAGGTCGCTTGTGCCTTCAGATTGGGTTTGGGGGTGTTGGGGGTTTTAGGGGTTTAGGGGTTTAGGGGTTTATATAGGGGTTTTAGGGGTTTTAGGGGTTATAGGGGTTTAGGGGGTTTAGGGGGTTTAGGGTTATGATTGCGTTTGTGTTTGACTGCTCTTAGGAATTATGCTTGCGCGCAGATTGGGTTTAGGGTTCAGGGTTCCCCGAGACTCCAATATCCCAACATTATGGAGTATTTCGTAAATCAAGAAAGGGATCCGACGATGATTTGAGGTATATCCCTTAATAGAGGGATATCGGAGTCTCTGGGTTTGAGGTGTAGGGCTGGGGGTTTGGGGTTAGGGGTTGATGGTTGTGGACTTAGGGTTTAGGTCTAACGTTTAGGGCTTGCGGTTGAGGGGTTTCGGTTTAGGGGTTTTGGCCTGTAGGGGTGAGGCTGTAGGGTTGCGGGTCGCGGGTTTCGGGTATAGCTTCGATAATTAGGGCAGCCATGTGGCCTCTCTTATGATTTGATGAGTTATGAAACCTCGGGCCATACGTCCATCAGTCTTGTTATCATTGTGAACCTGCTGGAACATGTGTTGATAAGCATCCTCATGGAGATTACTCTTATTCTCATTCCCGCTACCATCGTCCTTTCTATTGTACGGCACCTTAAACCAGAAACCCTAAAACCCCGAAACACCAAAACCCCACACCCTACACCCTGAACCCGAGTACTTGCCCACCTCCGACGTTTGATCGCGAGTACTTGGAGTTTCAAGGTCCCTAACATAGGTTATAATCATCGTTCCCCTACTTGTAACCCCGCTAAAAAGAGCCTCCAAGTAGAATCCTGAGCCGGGGAGGTTTTGGCCTCCAAAGATCTGGAACTCAAGCAGCTGCTTGGGAGAGAAACTGTAGGGTTGAGGCTTTTTTTTTGAGTTTAGGGTTGAGGGTTTTGAGGTGCTGGGGTTTGGGGTCTTGAGGTCTTGGGTTTAAGGCTTTTTTTGGTTTTGGGGTCTTGGGGTTTAGGGTCCAATATTGACATTGAGGGTTGAGGGTTTGGGTTTTGGTGTTTGCAGTTCATGTCGTGGTTTGGGGTTAAGGCCTTCGGGACTTACGGGTGGAGGGCAGTGGAGGGTTTGGCTTTTGGGCTGGGGGCTTAGGGTCCGGTAGATCAGGGTTTCAAAGAGTTTGTACTTGTACAGGACCGAAACCCAGCACCCCTCAGACCGAAACCTCCGAGACCACCAAGAACCCCAAGAAGCCCGCGAGCCCCCGAAACCCCCAAGAGGCCCAAGAAGTGCAAGAACCCCAAGAAGCCCCAAAAGCTTGAGGAGCCGAACCTAAACTGGCCTAAACCCTAAACCTTCAACCCTGAACCCTAAACTTAAAAGCCTAAACACCCGAACCTAAGCCCTAAACCTTCAACTCTGAACCCTTAACTTCAAAGCCCTGAAACCCCACGAAAGCCCAGGTTCTGGGACCGGGGCATCTTCAAGCGCGTCTCTTTGTCATAGTTGGGTGAAATTTTACATTTTTAAGGGTACTTAAACCCAATAAGGAATAACAATTAAAATTTTTAATCCTATCCCAACCATGAACCAGGTCTGGGGCCTGGAGAAGCAGGCCCTGCTGAACCTACGAGGACAGCGCCTTGAGGACGTACAGTTGATGATAGAAATCCTGCATTACCCATTCTTTAAGGAATATACTATAATTCCTATGGTTTAGGGTCCTTAAGGTAATGCAGGATCCGTATCATCAACAGTAATACAAGGTCCAGGCAGTTGCTCCTATCTTTTTTGGGTTGAGGGTTTAGGGTTTAGGGTTTGAGGTTTAGGCTTTGGGGTTTAAGGATTAGGGTTTAGGGTTTAAGGTTTAGGGTTTAGGTTTTAAGGTTTAGGGTCAGGCCGGGGAGGTAATGGCTCCGTATACCCCGCAACCCTGTTCTAAGTGTTGGGCCCAGGGTTTTGTTGCATCTGCGGTTTACTTGAAGTTTTTGTTGCCTTTGCGGTGTACTTGAAGTTTCAGTTGAAGTAAATCTACCTTCAAAGGTTTGCGAGGTTTCCGAGCTATGACCTCCTTTCCCTAAGCCCTAAGCTCCGAACAAAAGGTCGGCTTTTCGGTGTTCAGGCGGGGGTCTGAAGTCACCAGGGCCCTAAACCCAAGTCGATGTGCGAGGCTTCGGAGGACCTCGGGGACGGAAGCTCTGAGACATCCAATGCCGCTAGGGTTTAGGGGTTTAGGGTTTAGGACAGCGTTTATTGATTTTGTCGTTTTTTCTGTTTACCTGTTTTCTGAACGTACTCTTGTCACCACCACAGATACCATTACTATCACGAATCATGACTACTATTGCTGCCCCCTTTCAAGGGGGTCCATGTTGATCTTCGCGGTGCCACCGCGCGTCATGATGATCCCACCAGTGTGATACACCGTGGCAGTCAGCTCAGGGCTCAATATTTGAGGATTCACGTCTGTCTCGTGAATACCCTAGACTCCAAAGCTTAACTCCTAACCCCTAAACCCCTAAACCCCTGAACCCTAAATCCTCAACCCCTAAACCCTAAACCCTAAACCCCTAAACCCCTAAACCCTGAACCCTAAACCCTAAACCCCTAACCCCTAAACCCTAAACCCCTGAACCCTAAACCCTAAACCCTAAACCCTAACCCCTGAACCCTAAATCCTAAACTCTAAGAATGCAATGCAGGAGAGGGCCTCAAGTGCCAAGCGAAGATGGAATTGCAAATCTCCGGTGCCTCGGCCCGGACTTTTGTGGCGCCATCCATAAGCTCTGAACCGAGCCATAAAGCCAGAAAGTTGGAACATCACTAGACTCATGCCCTTAAAGCAAAGTATAGGGAATCCTAGCACGATCCTCCTAAATCTATGTTCCAGCTTTCTGGGATTCACTATATTCTCAACCCTCAACCCTAAACCCTCTGAGCCCAACACTTTCCCCTCCATTCCCACCACGCCCTGACCGAGGTCTCGATCCTCCAAACAATCGAGTGCGCAGGCCCGTGGAACCCAGCAACCCTTAGGGTTTAGGGTTTGGGGTTTAGGGTTTAGGGTTTGGGGTTTAGGGTTTAGGGTTCCATCAAAGGGTACGCTAAGGGTTTCTTCAATGAGTACAAGAAGGATTTTGCTCCGGGGATTTGGGGTTTGGTGTTTAGGTCTTGTGCACCGCGAGCACTGTTAGCAAGAGTAGTAGTGGTAGTAGTAGTAGTAGTAGTAGTAGTAGTAGTAGTAGTAGTAGTAGTAGTAGTAGTAGTAGTAGTAGTAGTAGTAGTAGTAGTAGTAGTAGTAGTAGTAGTAGCAGCAGCAGTACCAGTAGGAGCAGTATTATTAAGTGAGGGCAGCGAGATGTTGGTCATGATAACAATAGTCGCGAAAATGATCATGATTACGATCATGTTCATGATGACGGTTGGTGATGATTCGTGTCTTAAGGCCTAAGCCCAAAACTGTCTTCAGGGCGCTCCCGCGCATGAACACGGTCATCGACCGGGACAAGCCGAGGCATCCCCTAGCAGAGCTCTCAGGGCAAGTGGTGTTTTTGGAGGTTTGGGCTCTAAGCTTCCGAAACATTCAGCTAGCCTTGAACCCTAAACCCTAAACCCTTAAACTCCTAAACTCCTAAACCCTAAACCGTAAACCACTTTCTGGGGTGGCCCTTTTTTCGTGGGTTGCGTTTTCGTGGGCAGTGAGGTCCTTGTCTTGCACTTATTACCGGGGTCTCTTGATGTAGAGAGGGCTGTTCGGTACAGGTTTCAGGAGTCATTACATCTACAGCACCACCACACCATACCACGACGACTACTACACTGCTGGTGCTACTGATCATCGTCTTTACGACAATGTACCTTCTGTGTGCACAGCGTCTGATAGTCATAACACGAGCAAGCATATGAGCAATGTCTCATATCAAGAAAACGAAGAAGGTTGCTCAGGATTCTACTAGCTACAGACCCCAAACCCCTTAACTAAGGACTTTTCCTCGGATTATAGTAGGATCCTTAATATGGTTTAAGGGATATTTCTTAATTAAGGGGTGTTGGAGCCTCTGGGTACCTCGGGCCGCTAGTTTATGCCGTGCATTCATCATGCGGAGAGACTTCAGAGGTGGACATTTCTAGCGGGTGAGCCTTGGGGAGGTCGAAGTGGCAAGCCTTGGAATTGGGGGTTGTAGGGTTCTTAAGATTTGGGGTTTAAGGGTTTCGGTGTTTAGAGTCTTTGGGTTTTAGGGCTTCGGGGTTTAGGGTCTTTAGGGTTTCAGGGGTTTAGGGTCCAAGGTTTTAGGGCTTGGGGTTCAGGGCTTAGCGTTTCGGTTCTCGTACTGTGTCTTTAGGGGCTGGGCATCAATCCATGCAGTGCAGGTGTGGCTGCACCTACTGCAAGCTGAAGTGCGAGTCGTGGTATCTCCTCGTGTTTTCGGGCAATGCGTTATTGGAGCCTTGGCATCACTTGTCCAGGCCCCTAGGCCCTGAATCCCTTGTAGCAGCCCTTGTAGACCCCTTTATCGGAACCCTGCACCCCCCAAATCTGTCGGGGCTTCGAGATGTGACCTTGAAACCCTGGCGTCAAGAGCCCTTCCACCCGCTTTAATAATTACAAAATAGGGTTTTTTGGGGTGTGTATGGTAGTAGGAATGTAAATCTAAATCATAAACCTTGGGAGCGGAAGCCGAAGGACCACTACTGGCAAGTCGGTGAGCCCCTAGGTTTTTAGTGGGAACTCCGGGAGGAGTTCGTGGTGCTTCCTTAGTACCACAGAAACCTACCAGTCGCGGATGTCTGTGCGGAAATGATCGAAAGGAACGTTTTTGGAAACCTGGAGCCCTAACCCCAAACCCTAGAGTGTGGCGACAGGGCCATTGCAAGTAAAAAGTACAAACTATTCCGGATCTCGAACGGATGCCTCATCACCCGAGCCCTACGGCCTGAACCATGTGAGCTTATGGCTGTGATCCCGGAGAACCCCACACCCTAATGGCCTAATAACCCCTACTCTATGCCCCAATCATGACTGGCATTGATCTTCTTCTTCTTCTTCTTGTCATGTTCTCCTTCGCTGGTACATGCTAGTCAGTCGGTTACTGCAATACGAGAGATGACTGAGAAACCTGGTCAGTAATGTAATACAAAAACCACATGCCACGAGGAGGGGGCGGCTTGCTACCTGGCAGCAACTTTCGGCCCGTGTTTGGGGGCCGCTTGGGTTGAGGTAGCTTTGGGACTGGGGGGTTGGAGATGGGGGTCTGGTACTGTGGACCAAAACCAGAACCCCAAGACCCTAAACCCCCCAAGCCCACCCCCAAATATCACCCTAAACCCTAAACCCTAAATCCGAAACCCTAAGCTGGGTTTAGTTTGGTTTGTGGGGCTCTGGACCGGGTGGCTCCAAGGTTACGGTAGTTGGGTTCAGGGTCATCAGTGAGAATCGACATCGGGGCTTCCATTAGTTAGGTTCCGTGAGGTGCCAAAAACCCCAAACCCTAAACACCAAACCCCAAACCCTAAACACCAAACCCCAAACCCCAAACCCTAAACACCAAACCCCAAACCCTAAACTCCAAACCCCAAACCCCAAACCCTAAACTCCAAACCCTAAGCCCTAAACCCTAAACTCCAAACCCTAAACCCTAAACCCTGCGCCGTCCGGCACCCCAAACCCCAACCCCTGCAGCCTGGACCCTACTAAAACACACGAGAGCCCCATCGACGACTTGGTCCTGATCCCCACCTCTGCGCCAAAACCCATCTCGTGGTCTTGAGCCCCATCACTAAGCCCTAAACCCTAGGGGTTTACAGGGTTGCCCCCCTAAATCCCAAACCGCTAAACCCTATACTTACCTTTGGTTAGTAGGGAATGGAAGAATGGTAGCAATAGTAATCATAGCTGTACCCCATTCCTCAATTCCATTCTAACCAAAGGTAAGTATAGGGCCTATAGGGTTTAGGGTCCACGCCCTTCGCCCCGAAGTTCTCAAGGCTTGATCGCTTCGCTCTCCGGCTTCATCCTGATCTTCTTCATGGCCGTGTTCGGGCCAAGGCTTTCCGGTTTAGGGTTTAGGGTTTAGGGTTTAAGGTTTAGGGTTTAGGGTTTTGGGTTTAGGGTATACAGTAGAAGCCGAAAAGTTGGAAACCCCATAGCCTCAATCCTTAAGAGTCATGTATAGGGAATCCCAGCACTATTTGGCCTTCATCCGGTTTCCAACTTTATGGAGTTTACTGTATAGGGTTTATACTTATGCGGTTTAGTTTTTTCTTGTGTTTAAGGGCTAGGCTTCAGAGTATAGGGCTTCTTGGGTTTATACGGTTTAGGGTTTTTTGGGTATACTTCCACCCTAGATCCTGGATCTTTGACCCCAAGTTATCGTCTCAGCAAGAATCCGAAGCTCTTTTTTCAAAAGTTGTCGGAGCAAGGTAGGATCTTGGGAAGGAGAGCTAAATCCTTAAACCCTGAACGCTGAACCAAAAAAGCCTGAAACCCTAAAACTTATACTAGTGGCAACAGCAGTAGTAAGAGTAATAGTAGTAGTAGACGAAATAGCAGAACCCTAAACCCAAACCTTAGACCCGAAATGGAAGAGGAGGAGCAGGGCTCAGATCGCCGGGGCAAGGAGTTCGCACTTCGGAATTTGGGTGTTTTTTGGTTTGCGAGTTCGGACTTTCGGTGCGCCATTCGGGATTTGGCGTTGAGGAGGTAAGGTTCAGGGTTTAGAACTTACGATTTATACAGGGTTCGGGGGTTGTAGGTTGCACATGAAGGAAGCTACAACCTGAGCACGAGCCTGCTGAAACGGGGCTTAACCGGTCAGCTCGAAACGCTGAAAGCCATAGAGCTTAAGCCTTGAATCCTAGATCCTAAATCCCAAAGCCCAAACCCTAAGTAAAACCTAAATCCTAAATCCTAAACCCTAAATCCTAACTCCCCTACCCTAAACCCTCCTAAATCCTAGCTCGTAGATGCCTGTGCAGGCACAAGTACCAGGAGTTGCCAAGTGGAGCCGACGAGGGCGACGACGAGATGCACCACGCCCCCGAAACCGTCTACGAAGGCGCGTTAGGGTCTAGAGTTTCCCGAAACTTGAGGCTCAAGGTCCTGGTTTAGGGTTTAGGACCATTTAGAGTTTGGGGGTTTAGGGTTTTAGGGGTTTAGGGTTTCGGGTTTCCCGAAACCATCCACGAAGGAGCATCGGTTTGGGCGAAGGGGTATCATAGCTGGTTGGGCTGCTGGATTACAGCCCTCAGACTTGTCAATGTAGCTTCTATAAGCATGTGCAGGGCCCCAGGAAAGAAATTATAAACTTTAGGAGACAAATCTATACTTGAAGCTTCATGGCTAGTCATAAGTGGGGTTAGGCCCTAAACCCTATACCCCGATAGAATCCCTATAGATCCCTTTAAAGCGACCCTGAAAGGAACCCGTATAACTACCCATGGACCTCCGAGCAGATCCCAAGGCCCCCGAACTCCCCATGTGAAGAATCAGGCGGCGACACCACGCGAAGCAGCAAGGACTGGTTTCCGATGAAAGGGTTCTATAGAATTATAGGAACAAATTACCAATGTTATTCAAGCGTTACCTTATTGTAACTTTACCAAAAATTCATGATGTACCCCGGGACCCTATTCCAAGTATTAAGGCCAGAGTAGGGCTCCGCAGTCCTTGCCCGGTTCTCTTGGCCTGCTGGCACAATGCTCGACTCCCGTTTCCTGCTACCCGGTTTCGGGGTAACTTTCGGGGCAAATTACTTACTTTGCAGCATTGGAGAGGACAGGTGGTAAGTGCTCTAAGTGCTGAAAGAATCAGAACAAGCATTGGCATAGATATAACAAGCCTATGCCCCTCTGAACCCTAAACCCCGAGGCTCACAACCAGTGCCCACCTCCCAGGTTTCGCAAAACAGGAAGGGGTCGGGAAAGTCTGCTGAGCCAGTTTCAGGCTTAGGGCTTGGGGTCTAGGATGTAGAGTTGCGATAAATCTCATAATAAGCAATAGCATGAAACAGATGGGGGGGGGGTGTAGGTTAAGGATAGGGTCCTGATGCATGCAGCTCACAGGCAAAAACCCTGGTCCCGACCGGGTTCCTAAACTCAAAGTCTGAGAACCCAGAACGCCACCATCGAAGCGAAGCTATCGACCTGAAATTTGAGGTCCTATACGTCGTACTCGTGAGCTGATCCTCGCAATACCGACAAGACTGAGCTATAGTGACAGCAATAGCGATGACAATCGCCAACATCACTAGTATCGCTACCATCGCCGCCATCAGCACCATCGCCGTCATGGAGCCCTGTCATCTTTAATGCGAGGATCAGCATCATCAATCATCTCTGTAAACAGGATGGAGCTTATACAGCCATGTCCATGGGTTGTAGTTCATGCAGTCTGCCAATCCAGCGGTTCCGGCGCGCCAAGAACCCAAAAAAGAGCCTCAGAGACAAAGACCCTGAAAGTCGAACCGTGGAATAAAACTAAACACTGAACCCTGGACCCCTAAACCCTAAACCCTAGACCCCTAAACCCCTAAACCCTAAGCCCTAAACCCTGAACCCCTAAACCCCTAGACCCTAAGCCGCACAGAAGTCCTGAGAGCCTAAGCCCCAAAACCCAGAGGCTCCAATATCCCTTGACTACGCAATATGCCTTAAATCATATAAGGGATCCTACTATATTTTGCGGTATATTCCTAAATCAGGGGATCTCTGGAATTTTGGAGGAGCGAGCGTCACCTCTTCGCGTTGAGCAGCCTCCTCGGCCGGTGTCCGTGGACTTCGCAGGTCTCTCGCATGGGCTCGCAGGCACCTGGGCTTCAGGTCTGTGCAGAGCTGCATGATAATGTAGGGGCCCTTTTTTTTTTTTTTTGAATCGGGTTCCTTCAATAGGGGGGTACAAGGGCTAGTATAAGGGATCTAGAAGGGTACAATAACAATGTAGGGGCCATAAAGAATTTGAATAGGGCTTTGGGGTTCCGTATTATAATTATGGGACAATAAAACCCCCAAGCACTATTCTCTTTATTAAGGCCACTACATTCATGTAATTTCCGCAGACATCTCCAGTACCGGCCCTCATATTAATATCAGTTCCATGTACGAGATGAAAATGACACCTTCAGCGAGCTCAACTTCAAGGTAACACCAACAAGGTAATGGGCTTACATCAGACATGCACATACAAGTATATACATATATATATATATACACGTATAGATACATATATATATATGTATATGCACATGCATAGGTACTCTGAACGCGTCATACGGCAGGTGTAGTACCCTTTTTTGTTGAGTACTTTTCGGCTACAAAGTAACTGTGCACTCGACACAAGTTCCTCCTTTCCGACACACACGCTTCGTTTATATGTAATAATTTCTAGGTGCATATGTGTATACATATATGTATATGTATATATATATATATATATATGTTTTCCCTTCCCCTAACATTAAACTAACTCGGAAAGTGTTTTCATCATTAGGGGGTATTTTTATTTCTACTGCCACTTTTGAGGGGTGGTGCTCTTGCTCCTGCTCTGGCTCTTGCTCCCGCGCTGGCTTTTGCTCCTGCTTCGGCTGCGTCTCTTGCGCCTGCTCCTGCTCTTCCTGTTGCTGCTGCTTTTGCTCCTGCTCTTGCTCTTTCTCCCGCTCTTGCTTCTGCTTTTCTCTTGCTGCTGCTCTTGCTGATGCTCCCGCTTTTGCTCTTGCTCAAACTCCTGCTCTTGCTCTTGCTGTTGCTCTCGCTCTTACTATGCTCTGAGGGTATGAGGAGCCTCGAAACGCACCCCCCGAATTCAGAACAGGTTTCAAAGGGCAGGGATGATTTCGGGAGGATTCGCCCCAATGTGTTTGTATTGTTAGGGGATATTAGGGGGGTGTTTAATAAAAGCGGGCATATATATATATATATATATGCATATACACGACATACATGTATGGACATACATGTATTCACACGCACACATACATATGCGCATACGCTTACCTGTACATGTTTATATGCATACACATACATCTCCATGTCATCGTCCGAGTGACAAGCCACACCTGTCTCCTGACAGGCTTTCGGACGGAATCAGGGAGCAACTACCCGTCGCCAAACAAGGAGGTGACGCCAACACGTGCTTTCACGAAGGATCGGGACAGGACGAGAGCTTACACGATGCATCAGACGATCCACTAGCAGGGTCCAAGTTGGAAAGCCCCAGGCTGCAAGCCCCAACCCCCCAAAAGCAAGGTGTTGGTTTTCTGGACAGTACGCTGCTAGCCATCCTACCCTGGCTGTGTGGAGTTCTACGGATCCGAACAGCAACGTGGATGAGTTCGCGCTTCGCAGAGCCTGTGGTAAAGGGCTGCGGTCAAGGGCCTCAACATTAAATTCGTGAACTCATCCCGTTGCAGTGGCGACTCGGGGTGTGCAGATCGTCATGCTTTTTCGAGGCTGTTTATCTGCAGCTCCGATATCACAGAAGGGTTTGTAGGTACTCAGATCAAGCTGCCGAATGGCACATGATTGCCGTGCTGCCTCTGATGCTGAGCACATCAGGAGCAGACTTAGAGTTCAGCTTTTAAGAACCACCAAACCTGTGTAAAGTTCTTGCTCCGCGGGAGGGGGAGTCTGTGGATAAAGGCAGCTTCGGGAGAGCCAGACTGCCCTCCGCAAACCTTAAAGCCGAAACCCTGGACATCTCCGGCGATGTTAGGAGGCCTGAACCCTAAACCCTAGCTGAGCCTGAGACGTTCCAAGCAAATGTTTCAAATGAGGGCCCAAGCTAAGCTCTGCATCTGTACCAGACAGACGTGCCCCTTCCTACAGTTCTCATCTTTCGAGATGGGTGCGCCTTGCGATTGCTGCTGCTGCAGTGCACGGTGGCTTTAGTTTGTGAAAACATGGAGCAGAGGGTCTTGCAGGGATGGTTTTGAATTAGGGTTCTCCTGCAATTCTCTTCGCTATGACGGTGGAGAAGTGTACGACAGCAGAACTCCCTCAAAGTGGCCCGAACTTCAGCAACTGGTGTCTGTAGTCATACCTTGGGCTAACCCACACGCTAATTGGAGGCATGGGTAGGCACACCAGTTCTTCCTCTTTGAACCCTCTCGCGACAGCGACTACTACCATTCTCGTTACCGTTGCTATTGCTCCAAGCTTTGGAAGCCTCGAGCCAAACCAGTATTACACGAAGTCGAGGACCTGCGAGATCAGAACCGCAGAGTATTCGTCCTTAACAGGAAATTAGGGTTTAGGGTTGACATTTTTAATGTGTATCGAATACCAACAGAAAATCCTCAAGCTCAGTGTAGCCATGGGGATAGTTCTACGATTAGGGTCCGTTTTGTACTCCCCAAAACACTACGGCACCCTTACAAAAAAAGGACGCTAACAGGGACCCTGATGTAGAGAACTCCCCTTATAGTACCCTTGTCGAAACACTAGAGAAGCCCTTCAAGATCCCTTCCCTAAACCCCACACCCTAAACCCTAAACCCGAAACCCCAAACCCGAAACCCTAACCCCCAAACCCTAAACCCCAAACCCTAGACCCTAAACCCTAAACCCCAAACCCAAAGGGATCCACTTAGAGAGCCCATGGAGCTGCTCGGCGCTGTCGTTGCCTCTGGCGCCTCAAGGGCGGTCCGCGCCCAGCAGGGTGGTGGCTTCCAGGAGACCCCCCGTTGAGAGTTTAGGGTTTGGGGTATAAGGGGTTTGGGGTATAAGGGGTTTAGGGTTTAAGGGTTTGGGGTTTAAGGGGTTTACGATTTAGGATTTAGGGGGGTTTAGGGGGGTTTAGGGGGGTTTAGGGGGGTTTAGGGGGGTTTAAGGGGGTTTAAGGGGGTTTAGGGGTTTAGGGTCTACTATGAGGGCCACTGCCATTGTCAGTGGGGTTAGCAATCTCCTAACATGGGCTGTAACATATATAACCATTGTTACTTATCCTACTTATAACTAACCCCACTTTTGAACTGCCCATGAAACCTGAACCAGCCAGAGGCCTTAAGCACGAAGCCCATCGTTATCAAGTGGCTTTAGGTCGCAGCCATGGGACACCGAAACCCTAAATCCCTAAACCCTTATGAAACCCGCAACCCTAAACTAAACCTTAAGCCCTGAATTAAACCTTAAACCCTCAACTCTAAGCCCTGAACCCTCGATCCCTAAACCCTAAAGCTTAAACTCTCAACTCAAAGCCCTGAATCCTGAAAAGCCTCTTCCATCGCGAGGCCGTGGCCCGAACACGGGGCCCCGACTTCGATGTCCCGAAGTTCAAAGGAGGCTTCTGGGCTGAACCCTAAACTCCCTAACCCTAATCCCTAAACCCTACTCCCAACACACCCTAACCCTAAACCCTAAAACCTGAACCCTAAACCTGGAAACCTCAAAAAAAAACCGCGCTCTTTCCATGATCCCACCAAGGCTCAGGCTTTTAGCGGTGACCGTTGAATGCAGAATCCTAGAGAAATTATACGGTACCAATACTATTCCTGAGATGCGTTGTCATAGCTTTACTATAGTAAGCCCCCCAACCCACTAGTCAAATCATCACGGCCCCTACATGGGAGTTTCCGAAAATTAGGGTCCCTTTTTGGGTCCTTATTGTAATACGGCACCTAATACTTAAGGTGCCCGAAAAGGGACCCTAATATTGACAACTACCCTATATACGGGTTTCGGGTTTCGGTGAAGGGCTCATCTGTAGCCTTGCTCTTCTGGCTTTGCCTTGTGTTCAAGAAGGGGTCGGGCGTTTTGGGGTTTTGTAGGGTTTTAGAGTTCTCTGATGCTTTTGTATAAGGTTTACTGTTTTGTGGTGTTTAGGGTTCAGGGTTTATTGTTCATAGGGTTCCGGGTTCAGGGTTTATGGTTTAGGATCAAGGGTGCAGTCTTGGAGCATCAATCTCACCCGCTTGATCCATACTTGGGCATTCTTGTTACGCAAGTACGACAGAGGGCCCCCTTGACTCGACGGCCTTCATTTTCTATCTCGGTACTGGGCTCAAAACCCACCCAGAGACGCCAATATCCCTTAATTAAGGAATATACCTTAAATCATATTAGGGATCCTACCAATTAAACCCTAAACCCTAAACCCTAAACCCCTAAACCCTAAACCCTAAACCCTAAACCCCTAAACCTTAAACCCTAACCCCTAAACCCTAAACCCTAAACCCTATCTTGGGGTCTCTGGGCAGGCTGGACGCTGCTGCTCGTTGGGGCAGCGGCGCAGCGCCCCGGGCGGCGCAGTGCCACAGCGCGGGCGGCCGGTGGCGTGCTGCCGCCGCAGAGTCTGCAGATGTTTCTGGTGGTGGGGTGGTGGGGGCGATTTGAGCTACCATAGAAGCCCAAATAAGTACCAATACTATTTCGGGGGTTCCTTATGATAAGTATGCTATAAAAGAGCCCCAAACCCTATTCTAATGATTAAGGCCCCTACATTACGTGTTTCGCAGGCGCGCGGTTATCCTTGTGGACATCCTGGGGTGATAGGGTCTGGTATCAAGGCTAAACCCGAAGTAACTCCAAACCCTACACCCACTAGGTGGATTCTGTAGCCGGGGACAACCTGAAAAAGGCGTTCAAAACAAACCCTCTAAGGCCCCGAGCCCGCATTTAGGGAGGGAGGATTTGGGGCTCTGCATTCTGCAGACAGGGCTTGGGTTTGAGGCTTGTTGAGGTTGTTGGGTACGTGCCTGATGGCCACAGTCAAAGATCTAGCGTTAAGTTTTCGAGTCTATGGTTTAGGGCCGACAGTTTATGTGCCCACCTGAACACACAAAACGAGCACCAACAACACAACCTGTGCTTTCTCCCGAGTCATCAACTAGCGGTGATCTAGATGGGAGGGACGTGCTTCCAGCTCGACGGAACAGACTCCTGATTAGACAGTTGACCCTAAAGCCTGAGCCACGAACCGTACTTGGAGTTTCATGGGTAGTTTGGGAGCCCAGGAACAGCAAGCAGGCACTGCAATCGCTTCGGCAATGGCGAAAGAAGCAGACAGCTGAAGAGACCGAGGCCTGGGGATGGCATGGCAGGGCGTTTTAGAGGCCCTAAAGCCTACTTGGAGGACTTATAAGTACCATAACCCCAATTAGGGGCCCTTTTAGGGTGCTTAAAAGTCTACTTACTATCTACTTACTAAGTCCCCCGACCCTCCAAGTAAAGCCTAAACTCCAAACCGTAGAGCCTTGTCCGGGCTTCTGCCACGGGTTTAGAGCTTTAGGTAGGGCCTTGCGAATGTAGGAGCTACAAGTTTTGATGACGTCAGAGTAGGCTTATCCCCTGAATACTTTCTTAAAGAAAGCTCTATGGATCCCTTAATGGAACCCCTATAGACCCCTTCGAACCCTAAGTGGGCCTCAACAGTAGGGCAACTATGGACATAACCCCGTAGGGGGACTTACAACTCCACGTATCACTACCCTGGAACCTCCAAGTAGTTGGGTTCTTGTTAAGGGATTTCATGTAAGTTACCATAATAGGGATCTATAGTAAATAGCACGGCTTCTTTATTCTATGGTAGCTTAAGACGTCCCTAAGAAGAGCCAGTCGAGGAACCTCTAAGCCTCCCTCCGTTCCCTAAACCCCAAACCCTAAAACCCTAAACTCTAAAAGCTTCAGAGGTTCCGGGCCCCACGATGGCCCCGGGTCCCGAGCGACCCTGGCGTGGGAACCGCTGGAGGTGCCTTGGGGGCAGTTTCGGGCTTCGTGCCGGGGTTCAGGGGGTTTAGACTTTAGGGTGTTTGGTGGTTTAGGGGTTTTGCGTTTAGAGTTTTGGGTTTAGGGGTTTAGTGTCTTGGGGTGACGGATTTTTGGGTTTAGGTTTTCTAGCCTTGGGCCTCTTTGGCTTCCGTGGAGTTTTGGGCGAGGGTCCAGGTTGCTGGAGCCCACACTAAACCCTAAACCCTCACCCCAAAACCCCTAGCCCTAAACCCCTACGCCCAAAACTCTCAACCCCAAACCCCTAAACGCCCAAACACCCTAAACTCTAAACCCTGAACCCCTGAACTTCGAGGCTTGGGGTTCAGGGTTTGCGGCTCGGGGCTTCAAGCCCTGAGCCCTGAAACCTCGCAGCCCGAGTCCTGCGCCCGCAGGCTCTCAAAGAAGAATCTCCCAAGCTGTGTGGCGACCTGGCATGCGTGGATGAAAAGCATGGACGCAGAGGACAGCGCTAACATAGAAGTCGGAGCAATTCCGACAGTCCCTCTAGAGTTACCCCCCCCCATACCCTATTCTAATTATGGAGGCCCATCTGTTGGGTTGTTAGGCCCCAATCGCAAGCCAGAGATTCTGGTCACAGTCTCAGGTGGTTTTTGTTGCCCGCTTCTCAATCATGCCTTCTCGCTGCGCACTTGTTTGGGTTGGGAAGTTGGAGAGTCTGCTCTAAAAGCCGCAACATCGATGCTCCTCGCCGGTGATCAGCAGGTAGAGGTGTTTTTGTGACGCAGAAGCATAAACCGATGTGTCCGAATCAATCCAGACAGCCGGTTCAACGCTGTGCACGATCAGGCTGGTGTGGCCGGTGATGGTGATGAGTCAGTTCTGGGGAGGATGGTGATGCTGCTATCATCATCTTCAACTTCCCCTTCCTCCTCGTCCTCTTCTTCCTCATCCTTCTCTGCGCCTGGCCATCATCATCATCATCGTCCTTTTCACCACGACCCTGAAGCCTACGTCCTAAACCCTAAAGCCCAGAACAGCAAGCGGAGTCCAGCTCGAGGAGTTTTTCGACACCGTCACCAAGCGCCCTGAGCTGCTGCCGGCCTACACAGAGGCCGCCCAGGCCCGCGGCTCAAAGCGAGCGGTCTTCACCTTGCAGCTGAAGCGAGGGTTCAGGGTTTAGGGTTTACATAGGGCTTTGGGCTTTCTACAAGGGGTAAGGGTTCTAGAAGGCCGAGGAGAGTTCCTATAATGGTAGCTACAAGAGTTTAGGGATTAGCGGCCATTCGTTGGGGTTCCCTCTTGTAATTTCAGCAAAATATTTTCCCAAGCCCTGTTGCAATCATGACGGCCCCTATAAGATTCCAGAGGGGTTTTCTGATTTTATAAAGGGCTTCCATAGGGGTTTCTAGAAGGTGTGTTGCTGGCTCCCTACAACGGCTTTTGAGTATTTTCCCTGGCCCTTGCCTGCCCTCCGACACTTTTCGGCTGTACTCCTAAATCTGCGATGCTAGTCAGGCTTGAAGATTTACTTGCCCTAAGTGGCTTAGGGTTTCCGAAAATTAGGGGTCCTTGTTACAAGGATCCTACTATTTAGGGTACTAGATTAGGGTCCCCTGTTTTCGGAAACTCCCAAGTGGCTTAGGGTTTCAGGTTTAGGATCTTTGGGATACCCGAGCCTCTATAAGCCCGAGCCTCCTTGCAGCCACCTCCCTGGGAAGGCTGAGGGCATGGCCGGCGAGGGCAACGAGGCCGGACCTGTGAGTTTCAGTTCAAGATTCGATCACTGTAGTCGTAAGCCCCCACTACTTGGAGAGTCAGGGGACTTAGTAACTGGTTATTTTGGGGACTTATAAGTACCATAACCCCAATTAGGGTCCCTGTAAGGGTACTTATAAGTCTACTTACTACCTACTTACCAAGTCCCCCGACCCTCCAAGTAGCAGAAAGCATATCAGAAAACCCATGTTCTGAGCAGCACAGGAGCTGGTAAGTATGAGATTGGGGAAGCTTTCGGGCCGTGGGATCTGAGACGCAAAGTTGATGCCTTCGGGATGGGTGGCAGAGATCCAGGGGTTACAGGATACTTGGAGGTTCGTGGGTAGAGTTATGAGTGGCGCTTATAAGTCCACTGTATGCCTAATGTAGGTACGCAGCTGGTGCCCGAAGCCCCACTCACGAACAGAAGCCTGCCTTAATCACCAACGCCCGACCTACACCAAGCCCCTGCCATCTTCGGAGTCGTTGGAGAGCCCTTGTTGAGACGCCTGTTTAACATCCTTGCCGAGTGAGCCCATTGCCTCTTCATTTTGGAGTATGCCTTTGTCACCATAGCATTCTAATATAAGGGGCCTTCCTAAAGCTACACCTGTACCTTAAACCATAAGCCCGATCAGAGAGCGTTGGGCTCTCTGGGTTCTTGTTAAGGAACTTAATTTAAGTTGCCATCATAGGGATCTTTAGTAAATAATATGATTTCTTTATCCTGGTAACTTACTCATTTCCTTAACCCCTAAACCCTATATCGGACCCTTATAGATCCCTTAAAGGAGCCCTACAGTTATGGGCCTTAATTTAACTCCCTAAACAAGAAGCAAGTCTTTTCTGGGTGAGCCTTGGAGGTTTGCTTGGAGACAGCGGATTTCCTGGAGCGGCTGCACTCGGAAGAGGGCAGCAGGACCGGACCCCGGGGGGTGAGAATTTTGGAGTAGTAGTGTTTGGTGTTTTAGGGTTTCGGGTTTAGGGTTTAAGGGTTAAGGGTTGAAGGGTTTACGGTTTAGGGTTTACGGGTTTAAAGGTTTAGGGTTGGGGATGGTCCTGGGCCTCAGCCTGTAAATGTTAAAACGGTTAGTTTCGGGTCTGGTTGCATGTCGTTGCTCTCTCTCGCACAGTCGGGTCTTGTTGCAACTAATGGGCTTTTACACCCTTACAAGCAGCCCAGGTCATCTGCAATAAGAACTCAAAGTTGTAACTTCAACTGACACATGAAAGCCTTAAGCCCTTTGCTCCGTTGGATCCCCCAAGCCCAGGTCACAACCCTAAACCTTAACCCCGACACCCCAAACACAGCCTCTCAATTCCCAAAGCACGTTCCCTCCAAACCGCGACCCTAAACTTTCAAAAGCCTTCAACCGCCCAAGCACCCAGAACCTGAGGCCACAAACCCCGCTTCGAACGGAAGAGGCCTTGGAAGATTGTCGACCTGGGCTGCGGTGATGCAGCGCTGGCGAAAGAGATGAGGCGCTCACAAGCCATAGAAGGGGCTCAGAGCAAGGAGGACGGTTTCAGAGGGTTGCTGGGTTCTTGTTGAGGGATTCACATATTAACTGGTTGAATTTAAGAGACCATAAGCGGGATCTTTAGTAAAAACAATATGGTTTCCTCATTGTGGTAACTTAAACTAAATCCTTTAAGAGGAATCCAGGTTGCTGTCTTCTTGGCTCATGTTCAGCTTCGACGTAGCGTCCCACAGGGCTCCGCCGGCCCTTGCGATGTCCTTGGAAATGCTTCTGGTTTAGGGTTTAGGGTTTAGGGTTTAGGGTGCCTTCAGGAAGATTCCAAGAGGATGGACCCAAGTCCCTTTGGGTCCCTTCGAACCCTGAAACAGTTATGACAAACCCGGCATCAAAACGTGAAAGGCCGTATACAGTCTGTACCTGAACCCCTATACCCCAAACCTTTGACAACTAAGAGTACAAGATGGGAAAGGCAGCGTCGCCCCGATCTGGAGATGACCTGCGTGGATGCCGCACGCCTGGCGCGGGGCGTCGCGTGGGCCTTGGATTCTGATTTCGGTGTTTGGGGCTTGCGGTTTAGAGTCTGGGGTTTGGGTCGTGGTGTTTGGGTTTTGGGGAACTACGATGTAGGGCATTTCAGGGTTTCGGTAGAGTCCCATGTTTCGGCATCAGACATGAATGGTTGAGGATTGCACGTTCAGGGCTGCGGATTCCTAACTTTGAGAAACCAGAAATTGAGGGCGGTCGGTTGATTTTGACCGAAGTGCTGTCGTTCCGGCCAAATAGGGCCCCCGAAAAGTCGGTTTGGGAGATGTGGTCAGCGCGGCTTGGCTGAAGAAGCTGAAGCTATCAAGCCATGAGATGAGCATACCAAGCTATCTATCTATCTCTCTGTCTCCGTATATATATATATATACATATGTATATGGTTATGTGATGAAAAAGCTTGATGCAGACGACGTGACGAGTGGAGGTTTGCCCTTATTCCGAGTCGGCGAAGTACGACGGTTTTGAATGGGGCTTCGTCCCTACCCTCCCTCACCCACCACCACGAGGATCCGGAGCCCTAAACCGAAATGAAACCCCGAAACCCCGAAACCAATTAACCCCTAAACCCTTCAACCCCGAAGCCCTCAACCCTCAAACCTTCCTTCCCTTCTCCCCCGCGACTATCAGCCCCTGGATCCTCAAGAAGCTTTGCCCCAGCCTCCCAGTGCAAATCCAGCCCCCCTTTGCTTCCGTTCCCGGGCCTCGGGGGCCTGTATCCACAGGCCCAAAAGCTCAATTTCCGACTACCGGGCCTTGCAACCCACGCCCCCTCAACCCTGAAGCCCGAACCCTCAATCCGCGGCCCCTCTCCTTTTTGGGGGTTCCTTTTTATACTTAGAGTAGAATGGCCCAAAATCCTATTCTAGCTATCAAGGCCCCTATATCATAAACCCCTACTATAGATCCCTTGCAGGACCCTTTTTTAGAACCCTTAAAGGGAACCCTATTCTAATTATTAAGCAGCTGAGCATCAAAAGGCAACTCCAGAAAGTTGGAATATTGTTTCAGGGTAGGATACCTTATAATTTACCATAAAGGGTTTAGGATAATCATATTCCAACTTTCTGGCTTTTACTTAAGGTGGTGCAGAACTTAGCAGCTCTGCCCGACGACTGGGCCGCGGCCTTCGACGTGGCCGTGCTCTGCCGCGCACTGTGGAGCCTCGACTATGAGAAGGCCTGGTGTAGGGGTTTAGGGAATGGGTTTAGGGTTTAGGGTTTAGGGTGTAGCTGGGGGCAGTTAGTTTGTAACTGAGGTTGTTTTGCACAGCCTTATAAGAGTGTTGCTGAGGGTTTGTCGGGGCTTTGCTAATTTTGGGATTCGTTTTTTCGAACATGGTCTTCCGGCCATTGTGGGGCGGAGGGATTTCAAGGCTGTTAAAAATTATTTTAGAGTGGTTCCTGAATCCCCAATCCCAATAAATTTGCAAATCTCTAAACCCTACAGGGCTCAAGCTATCAGTTTACATGTTAGTGCTTCGTGGTCCGTCAAGGCTCACCCAAAAACGCGAAGATGTACGATCCAGTTAAATGGGTCGATGAAACTCCCCATCAGGGGGTCCGGATACTCCAAAAGCAGGATCGCGAAGTTTGTGTGCGCTTTGCCGCTAGGTTTTGCCTGAAACAACAAATTAGTCCTTACACCTAACCCTAAGTCCTGAACCCTAAACCCCTGCACATGTGCACACCCGCACGATTCTCAGCTTAAGCACAAGTCCAACACTACTTGCGCCACCTAAACCAAGACCTGAAACTGAAAACACCCAGTCCCAACCCTGAGTTCAGACCTAAAGGGAGTGGGTCTGAGTGGGTGTCGGAAGTTCGGATTCCAGGTTACAGGCTTCTAGGGATTGTAGGGTTTAGGACTTACAGGGCCTAGTTTGTTTAGGGTGTTGGGGATGAAAACTCAAAACTGAACTGTAAGTCCTAAGGTTTTAGGCTTCATGACTCCGGGCTCATGGAGCTTGCACCGCCAACGAAGCTGCACATTCTGTAAACCCTATAAAGTTAAAACCCTAAACCCAAACCCTAAACCCTAAACCCTAAACCCTAAACCCTAAACCCTAAACCCTAAACCCAAACCCTAAACCCTAAACCCTAAACCCTAAACCCTAAACCCTAATTGTTATCTTCTAGACCTCGAGCTCTGCTTACGATGCGCAGGTGCTGTCGGAAGCACATCGGGTGCTGAAGCCTGGCAGCATCACTATGTTCTTTAGTTAGGGTTTAGGGTTTAGGGTTTAGGGTTTAGGGGTTTAGGGTTTAGGGTTTAGGGTTTAGGGGTTTAGGGTTTAGGGTTTAGGGTTTAGGGCGTTTCGGCGTTCTAGTTTGAGGTGTGTGGGTTTAGGTGTTAGGGAATACGAGAAGCGACGCTGGAGCGAATGCATCGTCCGAACCATAGTGCCATAGACCCTTTTTCACTTGCCTGCTGGCATGCCCTGGCATTGACGGGTAATGACGGGTACAGTTGGGTCGTTCCGTGACATGCATCTGTAAGCTTGTGCAGCACCTCTACTGTGCTCGCGGTCTTGTTACAACAAGACCATTCCAAGGTCAATCCAGTTGCAAAATGCGAATGGCACCAAGAGCACGGTACCCGCTTCAAATTACGCACGGCCCTTGAGCGCGCTAGCAAGATGTCTTTCCGCGAGGAAGCGCGCGGTTCGTGAAGCAAATGGGACTGTGGCGGGAGCGGAAAGGGTCCAAAGTGGGGACTGCTTCCACGGAAAAGGCACGAAACCTGCAAACCTGAACGGCACTGTGGCGAGAGGATGATTTCCCGCTGTATACAACTCCAGTATAAATTTTCAGATATGGAATAATGCATTATGTAATGTAGTATAGTATAGCATAACATAAAGGAGTAAAACAGAAAAGACTGTAAGCATATCATAATACAATGTAGTATATCATAATATACTGCAAGTTTGTATGATTTAATCCAACATGAGAAAGTACAGTAATCCCATAGAGTAAGAACCCCTGCCAACGACGGTGTTTTCCATGACCACGCCGAAGAACTCACAAGTAGAACTTCAGAGCCTTTCAAGCTTCATAAGCCAGGAGCCTGCAGAGCGTTGCAATCTAAAGCTATTGCATACTATATCATTTTGCATTCTCTGTATTTATATCTAGATCTACGTCTATATCAGTATTTATATGTACATCGATACCTATCTGTATCTATCTGTATGTATATATATATATATACACATAAAATGTATATTTGTATTGATATCTGCACCTATACCTATATCTGCAGCGTTTTCCATGTCACATACATACGTACATACGTGCATACGTACATATATATATATATGTACACATACATATCACAACATCATATGCATGTGCCATGCGGAATCTCCTGAAGCCGAAGCCCCTGGGTATGCAATTCAGCCAAAGGAAGCAGTCTCCCGATTCGCGTGTGCTGGTGGTAGAACCAATCAAGCGCTGGTTGGATCGATCCAAGGACAGAAAGTTTGGGGGTTTACGGCGTTCAGATATATTGGAGGTTTTGCTGGCTTGGGAGTTTAGGCCTTCATGATGTCTTGCAACGGTTAATCGGAATCTCCATCAACTAGCTCTCTTCAGCACCCTGGCGTCAGGCCAACTTTTCCTCTTTCGAGATACGGACGATTTGGGTTTACGGTAGAATCTTAGGGCTTCCAAGTGCGTGGCTTTGGGGCACGAGGGCCTTTACGACTAAGGGTTTCGAGGTTCTTCGTGCTCGTAGCATGCTGCATCATGTCATACCAAACTCCCATCGCAGCAGCCGAGAATTTTGATCGTAGACTGTGATTCTCAACCCTAAACGCTATGCTCCCCCCCCACCGCCCCAACCCAAATCAACACAACTACCACGGTAGCAACTCTGAAACGGCCCCTGAATTTCGCCCTGAACCTTCAGGTCGTGTGCCAAAACAGCAAATTGCGGTTCCACCCCTCAGCCCCAGGACGGCGGGCCCGAGCAACCCAACGAGCTGATCCAAGCTTTGCAGAGGCTTCGGGTTTCGGGGGGCGATGAGGGTTTAGGTTTTCCAGGACCTAGAGTAGGCCCTTATTTCCTTTTTCAGGGTTCGGGTTCCCTTATAAGCCCCTTTAGCCCAAAAAGGGCACCCTTTTTATTCCTAGGTTACTCTTGGGTCTAGTTTTGGGTCTGTGCTTTTCATTCCCCAGAAAGTGTGATACCACCATGGGTTTCATGTGTTAGAGAAGTGTACAGAGGTAGTGGTCAGTGTCCATGTGAGGCGAGCCACTAGACAAGAACTCTTCAGCTGTTTAACCCCGGAAGAGTAGAACTGAGTAGAACCTCTTGTTGCTCTGTGACACCGCAGAGTACTACCAAGACAAGGCAGGCTTCAGCTATTCGGTGGTCCTGGCAGAGGATCCATCGCCCATAAGCCCCAAACCCAAAAGCCTAGGAATTTGGGGCTCAAGGAGACGTGGCTCCCAACCCTTCGGCCATGCTTTCTCCAGTGACGAAGTCTGAACCTCCTTAAACCCTAGTGTCGGAACCCAAACCCTGAACCGACTATGGAAGCCTGAATATCTAAGAACGAACAACAACCCTCCGAATAGTCCTTGTTAGCTTTGTTCGCACCAGATGCCAGTCCGCAGCACACCACAAAATCCGCTTGTTTTGCCTGAAAACTTACCCTAAACCCAAAAAGGGTAAACCCTAAACCCTAAGGCCCTAAAACTCAGGGCGGGGTTCTACATGCTCCGGGCCGAGAATGTGCGCTTCGAGGAGGGAGGCGAAGAGGAGAATGGGACGAAGCGCGTCTTTCAGTTCCTCTGGGCCTCCGCGGTGCCACCCTAGGAAGGTGCTTGGAGGTTCCTTTAATGGCTCTATAGGGTGTAGGGTATAGGATTATAGGGTTTAGGGTTTAGGGGCACTTTTTCGTGGTGTTATAAGTAAGGTAACTATAATTACAACCCATATTCGGAGGCTTATAACCCCACATATAACCACCCATGAACCTTCAAGTAGGAAGCAGGGTCGCGGTATGAGGAGGGTTTAGGGTTTAGGATCCAGGGTGCAGGTCTTAGGTTTTGTCTTCGAGGGTTTAGGACGGAATAGACCTGGTACAGTAAAAAGAATGAGTTGAATGTATCCAACGCAAACAGTTGCATGCAGTTCATAAGACCCAGGTACCGTAGGGCCGCACAGGGGCAGCGCGTCCTTGTGGCATGGTCTCGTCTGTTGTCAAGCACAATTATATTTACACAGCAGTTAGGCCCATTGAACCTCCCTTAAGCGTGGGGCAGCTATTTAAATTTACAGTTTTGAATTGCACGGTTGCTTCGTAAGAACAGGCATGTTGCAGGTTTAGATAAGGTAGTCTTGTTTCCGGCATAGCTGCATGTTTCTCGCAGTGTGGTAGGTGCCTTAATGAGGTTTTACATCTACTCCTGGCTATATCTGAATGGCAATCCATGTGCTAAAGTGAGTGCTTCTGAGTATCCTGGCACTATCTTCAGCTTAGATTCCTAATATAGGATATAGTACCCTAGATAGGTAGGATCCTTATCATAAGGCCCCCAAAATACGGTACCCCTAATTTTCGGAAACCCCCCAAACCCTTATAGTAACCGTTTAAAGGAACCCTTATAGTACATTTATAGTACCCCTTTAAACCTCCAAGTTCACTGTGACATCGCCTCTTAGCTTCGGCCTCTGAGCTCGAGCTGGGGGCCCCGAATCCAAAGACATGCTCGGAGGTTCATGGGTAGTCATATTTTCATTGGTAGTGATATTGTTAGTGGAGTTATAAGTCCCCTGATATGGGTCATGGTAGTTATATGATGAGGGGTAGTTGTACTATAAGTGGAGTTTTATATGTCCCTTAACATGGGTTATGGCTATAGTTACCTTACTTATAGCTCCACCTAGTAACTACCCATGAACCTCCAAGAAGACATAGGCCAGCTTAAGTGCTGGCGGTTCTGGACACATTGGCTATTGTCAAAATGCTGGTCCGTGGTTGGAGAAATCGTGTACCACACGGCTAGTGCACACTAAACCCTAAACCCTAAAACCTAAACCCTAAACCCGTACTATCTGTCATTTAGCTCGGAACAGTCTTCGATCCTTTTCACAGAGTTTGAAGCCGTGCCCCGGTTTGACGGGCTTCAGGGCTCCCTTCTTTGAAATTCCCAGTGAACGGGCTGTAGGGGTTTAGGGTTTAGGGTTTAGGGTTTAGGGGGGGTAGAAAGGGTGTACGGAAGGAGTCTTAGCCTGAAGGCCTACGTACACAAGTTTAAAAACTGCTACTGGGGTTTGAGCCTTTCAAACGCAGCGATGTTGCCGTATGAAGGGTCCTGATTACATAGCCGAGGCGGTAATGGTTTGGGGCTTGTTTTTTGGGGGGTTGAGGGTTTAGGAGTAAGGGCTCCTAGAAGGTTTTCTTTGCGAACTGGCAGCCGAAAAGTATTGAAACGTAGCGTAGAGCCAACTTCAAGCGCAAAAAATCCTAAACCTTGAGGGTCAGTTTGCAAGGAAAAAGCTACAGTAGTGCCCTCATATATCTACTCTGATCCCTCGTGGTAGCTGTTGCCCTAAACCCTAAACCCTAGACCCTAAAACACCTAAACACTGCAGCGTTTCGGCTTCTCTGGCGTAGAGTCTCAGGGCTCTCTCTTCCGAGTTTCGTGCCTTGGGGCACGCTGCCAGCTTCTTGGCCTGCACCAGAAACCTGCAGTTATCTTCCAGAAACCTGCAGTTATCTTCAGGGTCTAGTATCACTATTATTACTATTATTAGTATATATTGGATTATTTCTATTATTAGTCTATATTATATTACATTTTATATTAGACTTTGGGGCTGTAGGTTTAGGGTTTACGGTCTAGGATTCAGGGTTAGTGTTTAGACTAGGGTTGATCTAGGGTCTGAGGTTCAGGGTTAGGGTGTAAAAAATTGGGGCCTCATGTTTATAGATGAAGGTGTGGGTTTTGTCCGGACCTCTCATATTGTTTCTCGAGAGGCGGTCCACCTGCAACACCACCCAGCGATGCAGGGGAACTGAGTAGGCAAGTTTTAACCGTGTTGTGGAGCTACAAGGTCAAGAAGCCCACCTTGCAGCATCCCACCCCAACTAAAGGCTTATGGGAAGTTGTCAAAACTATGGCCCCTTTTTGGGAACCCTAAATATTTGCTGCCGTATTCTAATAAGGACCAAAAAAAGGACCATCATTTTGACAACCACCCTTATGTGTTCAAGCTTTTCTGGACCAGGGAACCATGCTGTGAGACTAGCAGTGAACCCGAAACATGAACCCCGAACTGCAGCCCTAGAGGCCTCAACGCCCTGAAGCCCTCTATCGCCTGCTCATGGAGGGGTTTTCTGTCTTCTGGCTGCTGGACAAAAACATGGCAGTTAAAGAAGAACAAGCTCAAACCTCGAAGCCCTAAATCCAAACCCCCAATAGTATACCCGTTGAAAGCTCTGTGGGGGTCTCCGAAAATAGGGGACCCTGCTCTAGTACCCTAAATAGTAGGATTCTTATTACAAGGACCCCATAATGAGGTACCCCGAATTTTCGGGAACTCCCTTATAAAGTTGCAGATCGCTGACTATTTTACTAGGTAGCGCTTTGGGACATTTTATAATATTTACTCTTATTGGGCTTCAGAGGATCTTACCCACCAATAATTTTTCAAAGGCTTTAAATGCACCTCCTAGTTTAGAAGCTACCCAGACCCCCGGCTACTTGTAGGAACCCCCATTAAGGGATCTACTTTTTGGATCCTCCAAAGGGGGGGTCTCCCTAAACCCTAAACTCTAAACCCTAAACCCTAAACCCTAATCCCTAGAACCCTGACTCAAGATGCCAGGATATCGCGCCGACCCGGAGACTGCCATGGTTCACGAAGCGGTGCTCCAGCATGGACCCATGCCTTCACAAGCCATGTGGGTGGCTGTCAAAATTGTGGTCCCTTCTTGGGTGCCCTAAATAATAGGTGCCGTATTATAATAGGGACCCAAAAAGGGATCATAATTTTGTCAGCGACCCATATGGGGGAGTTTCCGAAACTTAGGGGTACCATGTTCTGGGGTCGTCATAATAAGGATCCTACTACTTAGGGTACTATATCATGTAGGTTTTCTAGGGAGGAGTAACGGGTTGTACAGGCTTTGGAAAGGTTTTGTAGGGTTTAAACGTTAAACCCGAAACCCTAAACCCGTTCATTAGGGAAGTGTAGAGACCTGCTTGGGAACCCACTGGTCCCTCCTACAGCTCTTAACGTAGATTTTTGTTTCTGGATTTAGCGCCTCTGTTCTTGTTCTTCCTTTTCCGCAGGTGCGGAAATTACTGTGTTTCGGGTTATAAACACGCGGAGCTACTCGGATCTGCTTCAGAGTTTCTGTATGTTGATTATGATGGAACATATCGGATCTTCTTCAGAGTTTCCGTAGTTTGATCATGGTACAGTACATCCCGACGCAGTACGGTTCAGGGTTTAGGGTTTAACGAGGTTGCTGCCCTGCCATTCTTGTTTTTATCCAGAGGGGGCATGGGACCATGGTCGTTGAACCTGTGGTTGCCTTACCTGTAGTAGCCATGAGCCGAGGGCTTTAAGAGGGCTTCATCGAGTTCCAGGTGCTGGCTTGTTTCGTCATAAAGTTTTTGTTGGGAGGATAGCGGATTCGAAGTAAGGTCGAGATGATGTTTGAATCAGTGTCCCTCGACAAGAGGCATCAAAATGTCGACCGTGCCGACATGCAGTTCTAGAGCTTCGCACTAGGGGACATGCAGAAATCAGCCCAGGAATCGAAAGGTGTAACTCCTCTAGAACCTGAAAGGGAATTCAACATTGGGCGATGCGATCGATCAACCGTTTTCGCACACTCGCTATTGTAGTGGTACCAAACATCCTAGAACCCAGTTCCAGGCCCCTGTAGTTTTTCATGGTTGGATGTCAAACCAGCATCCCTAGCTGCCCAAGCGAAACCTCAAATCAAAGTCCAAAATCTTGAACTCGAAACCCCCAACCCAAGCCCCAACCAAGCTCAACGAACATAGCTAAACCCCAATCTCTCTCCCTCCAGTTGCTTGCAAAGGAAGCCGGGTTCGCGGTTGGGGTTCAGGGAGCATAAAGGGTTTAGGGTTTAGGGCTCAGGGCTCAGAGGGCTTATAGGTGTTCCCTTCGCATCGGATTTGTAAGGTCTCGGGCCTACAGGCTTGTGTTCGGGTTTTGCATTCGGGGTTTGAGTTTTCAATGTCGGGTCTTCTTCCACGCCGAGGCATTGAGATCGCACACTCTCCGATGGTGATGGAAGCAGCAGCATGGCAGGGCTAAGCGCTTGAATCCCAAACCTAACCCAGAATCCCTTGCCTCTTAATCCCCAAGCAAGCAAGCGCCAGGATACCCTTACTTGGAGGGTCGGGGGACTTAGCAACTGGTTATTTTAAGGACTTATAAGTACCATAACCCGAATTAGGGTCCCTTTTAGGGTACTCAGAAAGTCTACTTACTACCTACTTACTAAGTCCCCCGACCCTCCACTAGCGCCGAAGCCCTCCACCCTGACTTGCAAACTTCGAAGGTGGGTTGGTTGAAGTCTTTGAGGGGTTCGGAGTTTCAGTGGTCCTACTTCTGTTTCGATTTCTCTTGCTGACAGAACCTTATAACACAATAAGCCCACGTAGAAGAAGCGTCTGAGCTGTGCCCGCAAAGGAACCCGGAAAGGAACCTTACTTGGAGGGTCGGGGGACTTAGTAAGTAGGTAGTAAGTAGATTTATAAGTACTTTAAAAGGGACCTTAATTGGGGTTATGGTTCTTATAAGTCCCTATAATAACCAGTTACTAAGTCCCCCGACCCTCCAAGTAGAAGGAACACAATCCGAAAGCCTAAAGCCTCAAAGGAACCCTCGTGGGAACCCGATACCATAAACTGGAACCTTAAACCCTCAAGGCTAAAGCCTAAACCCTAAACCAAACTAAAATCCTATAAACCCTGACCCCCTAAACCCTTCCCCTCCCAAAGAACGCTAAAGGCCCCAACCCCCGAACCCTTCACAAGCAAAACCCGAAGGCCTCGACCCTAAACCCTAAGCCCTCACCACCCAAACCCTCCCCCGGTTTAGGGTTTAGGGTTTAGGGTTTAGGGTTTAGGGTTTAGGGTTTAGGGAAAGCTCATCCGAGGTATCTTTCCTCAAGGTTGGCCCTGCTTTGCAGGCCCTTAGCGATGCGGGCCACAGCATGGCGCGGCTCGGCCTTCTTGGCTTCAGGGTTCAGGGGTTGTGGGTTTTTAGGGTTTAGGGGTTGAGGGTTTTTAGGTGTTTGAGGATTGAGAGTTCAGGGGTTTAGGGCTTTGGTTTCGGGGTTTCGGCGCGGTCTCATTGTTTTCTGGAGGGTTTTGAGAGGGTTCTATAGATTCTATAGGGTTGAAAGAGATTCATTTTTGAAATGATTAAACCTACCTGGGATTCTGCTAGGGGCTCAGCTAAGCATTGATATTGGAGGAGCTAAGGAGCCAGGGATGATGATAATCACTGTTGCATAAAGAG